CTTATCTGTTGGTCGACCTAGACGGTACAGTGACTTAATGCTCGTACTAGAGAAATTCGGTAAATCCAAATGCCGAGAAACTAGTTCGGTGACTTTTAATAAAATGTCTTCCGACTTCTCTTCAGTGATGCCATGGAAAAGTAACGTTTTACGTCTCCTACGCATTTCTTGACGATCAATCTCGAGACTAAGTAATTCGACTTGTCGTTGCAAGGTGTTGAGTGCTGATAGAATGAAGCTTTTAAAAGTATTGAAATCAGCTGCCAAGGAAGTCGTAGTCACTGGAGTGGTGTTTTTATGGAGTTCTTGCTGGAATTCACTCATCTTAACATTAAACATCTCAGTCATTGCAGAAAGAGATTTCTTGATGGTTTCCATGCTCATTGTTTACTTAATTAATGTTGAAATGTGAACGAATCGAAGAAGTTCAACTTGCTGGCGGGTAACAAAGTTTAGTCAAACATATGGTTTGTAAAAAACACCAATAAAAATATTTTTAACTATTTTTAAATAAAATTTTTGCTGAGGGATAAAAAATCGCTGTTTACTTTTCACCTCCTACCCACGAAAAAAGTTTAATTATTCGATGTTATTATAATCCAGTTATGTTACAACTAATATATAATTATTTTTCCAACTTCTTTATTTCGTTTTTTTATTTTAAATTTAGAGCATCTTGGATAAAAGATTATTTAATTATATGTTTTAATTTTCGATTATTGCAGCTTGGATAACGTAGGTTGAGAAGGCGAAAAGAGAAGGCTAGGGCGGGAGCTACGCTGCAGCTAGCTTCCGCCCTAGCCTTCTCTTTAGTATTTTTTTTATTTCAATCCCAGAATCCCCAATATCATAATTGCTTTATGTTATCTGAGATTTGGAGACAATTTGGACTCGAAAATTATAGGTATCGGTATTTTTTTTTGACGATACGCTCCATTTTTTGAAAGAACGAGAACAAGATAAATATATATTTTGTGTCTCTTTCAAAAGCTCTAAGTTAAAGATGGCGGTCCTAGATTTGTCAATACTCATACTTTTTATCTTATCTTTATTGTTAGATAAAAATATAAAAAAAATATTTTTAATAATCAATAGCCGGATTAATGAAAATAGTATTAGTCGTACAATAATTGTATTAATAATAACTTATTCGTACAGTTACTGTATCACTCAGCTTTAATTATTTTTGATAGATAAGGGACAGCAAAATCTACACATATAATAAAATTGTAACTAAGTCGAATCTGTACATTAAATATTTTTTGGAAAATCTCTTTGAAATAGACATTATTATGGATACAGAGTCCGAATCTATAGTTTTTAGAATTTTTGTTTGTCTGTCTGTATGCTACCGCATCACTAGAAAACCACTGGACAGATTTTGATGAAATTTGGTATAATGATAGATGGTTATCTGGGTTAACATATAGGATACTTTTTACCGCGGGAAAATATCTCATTTCTGAGAAAAAATACACAAACTGTAATGTAAGAGTATACTAATATGTAAAACCTAAGAGTTTGGTTTTTGGTCATCTGAACGCGGGCGGAGCCGCGGGCAATGCTAGTAGATTATAAGAAACGTAAAAATTACAGTGAATTTGCAGAGAAACACGCATATCGCAAAACACAAGCGTAATGTTTGACGTACTGGCAAAAGGCATATCTATTAAATAGGCGGAGTCATAGGGGCTTCGCGAAGTTGACATTCTACAATTTTTTTAGCTAGTTAAGTAAATAGTATCCTATATGTTGCTATCACCATGCCAAGTTTCATCAAAATCCCTCCAGTGGTTTTTCTGTGATGCGGTAGCATACAGACAGACAAACAAAAATTCTAAAAACTATAGATTCGGACTCTGTATCGATAATAACGTTTATTTCAATAAGATTTTCCAAAAAATATTTAATGTACAGATTCGACTTAGTTACAATTTTATTATATGTGATGTTCTCCTAGCCGATTCCGGCCACGGCGGCCAATCTCAATGAGATTAGCCAACTGCGCAGGAGATATTATAGTGCTCAAGTGTACGCGCAGACACAAGTGCACTCTCTATTCTTATCACTCTCATACTCCGGTGGGACGACTGCTCGACACGACCGGTGAGAGTTAAGGCGCAGGACCGACGGCTTTACGTGCTCTCCGAGGCACGGGGGTGAAACACCGCCAACTTCCCAACTCCGGGCTGTTACTGAGACTTACTATACAGGAAAACTCAATAACTAAACTTGGCCCGACCCGGGACTCGAACCCAGGACCTCCGGCTGTGCAGCCGTATATGCTAGCCATTACACCACCGAGGCAGTAAATTATTATATGTATAGATGATTGAATGCGAAAAAGAAAACTAAAAAGATGAGAACACACTATTATGCTGTCAGAGATGTGTATGTACCTACATGCACGTAGTAAGACTTACAGCAAGAATAAAACATGTATGTCAAATATTTACCAAGTTGTTCACTTCTTTTTAGTTCATTTTATACGCAGTCGGTTTTTTTATTCTTATGTTTTTTTGGGTAGTTTTGCGTCTTGTTGTACCAAAGTTACGTACCTTACTGACAAATACGAGTAAGCAACAATTAATAATAATAACTGACTAACCCATGACTGAAGTACAAACATTCGTGCTCATCACACAAATGAATGCCCCCAGCGGGACTCGAACCCGTGACCGCTGGCACAGTAAGCAGGGTTACTACAAACTGAGCCAAACGAGCTGTCGAATTGTATGTATATGATTCAAATTGAGACAAAAAATTAAACAATGACCACGTATTCACTTCCCCCTGTCTGTCTGACGCGAAATGAGAGCGAAAAAAATACATATAACAATATAACAAAAACGTATCAACTTAATATAAAAAGTGAATCATTTTTATGGTTTGTGAATCCAAATAAGTTGACATGTATGTAGGTTGGTAATCCGATTTTTATCCAAATCTTGATAAGAATGGTCTATTAATTTGTACTAAATTAATTAGTAAATAGACATAAGAATTAAGAATACATGTTATAGATACAGGCTCGGCTCTTATTTGTACGATAGTGTGTGTTGCACATAGTGCAAAAACTTTTTTATTTCGTTATTTACTTGTTTATTTATTTACTAGCAAATAAATGGCATTTTTTTAAATCTTTTGTACGTCTTTTAAATAAAACTATCTTTTCGGATTTTTCGCATTGTATAAATTTTGTGGATAGTCGCTGTCTGTAACACGTATATGTGAATAACGTATAAGTATAATGACCTTTGAGACCTCTAAAAACTTTGTCTCTTCTATGATCATGATTGATGTGAAGCATTCGAAACATCGGAAACCAAAATTCAAAATATTTCAGCGAAAAAACCCGTAAAAATAGTTTTATTTAAAACTAGTGACTAACTCTCGCTCCGCTCGAGTTCTAATGTTCTAACTAGTTTTAACGCTTAGTATAGATTTCTCAGAGATGAGATATTTTCCCGCAGTAAAAGTCCTATTTGTAGACTCGGATAACTAGCTATCATCATACCAAATTTCATCAAAATCTGTCCACTGGTTTACTCGTGATGCGTTCTCAAGTAACGGACAGACAGACAAAAATTCTAAAATACCATAGATTAGGCCTGTGTATCGATAATAATGACTATTTCAATAAGATTTTCCAGAAAATATTTAATATACAGATTCGACTCAGTTAGAATTTTATTATATATATGTATGTAGGTATGTATTGTATAGATGTTAAATATTCGCGTAAATTTAAGAAAGTATTATTTTGCTTGTCTATTAGTCTCGATGTCATAAAAATAAAAATATCATTTTATGTTAAAAGTTAAACGATTACAATTATATATTTGTACGATTGACCGATGTAGCGACATAAATGAGCTTCATCTTGTGAATGCAAATATTATCACGTAGGTACCTATAGTACATATTCTTTAGATTTTAGTAATAAAGTGTAACAATTATTTATTTCTTAAAATAATACAATTAATTTACTGCCAAACACCAGTTTTACGTGACAACATTTTAAAATAGACAACCAAACTTATAAATAAAATAAATAAAATAAAGGATTTGGATATACACATTTTCTTATTACTTATTTAGCCTATTCTTAGCAAAAACATTTTTAATGTTGAATAATTTTTTGTAGAAATTAAACGTATATATGTAGTACTTGTAACTAATTTAACCGTAACATTTGACAAATCACGTTAATCAAAGCTTGATTAATGGAAAAAAAACTCCTTTAATAATTTGGCTTCTACAATAGACTATAAAAATGTGCAGATTTACCACTCAATTTTTTTCTTATTAAATAAACATGCAAAGTCATAGACGAAGATAATTATTATGAAATTGGTTTGTGTGTCGTTAGTATTATGATCGTATTGTTAAGTACTTTAAACATACCCACGTGTAGTCACCATGGTGGTATGGTACTTGCATCTGTATGGTTTTCATTTGAAATTATGTATAATATCTATAGTAATATTATAAAGAAGAAAATTTTGTTTTTTGTATGTTTCTATCTAATAGGCACCGAAACTACTTAACCGATTTAGATGAAATTTGGTAAGAAGATAGCTTTCATCCCGGAAATTATCCCTTAAGGGAGTGAAATTGGGGGTGAAAGTTTGTATGGGTAAATAACCTAGGGGCTAGGGACGAGCCCGAGCGAAGCGAGGGTGAATCGGTAGTAAACCGTAAAGAAGTAGGCAAATATACTCCCTACCGTTACATCGACACGAATATAATTTATTACACTACAATCAGTTCGCATCATGTGTTATACGAAATATTATATTTTATAGTTTATTCTAAAGATAATTGAATTGATAACAATAATAATCATTTGCGGACTTTTTTTAATGTATACGAGTGTGGATCACTGAGCGACAGTCGCGGGTAGGCAAGATAGCGTGTGTCGACTGCTTTAGTCGTTGTAGTGGTTTATAAGGGTGCGGAGCCTGCGAGAGGCGACAGTGCGTGGGCGATCGTTGACCATGTCGCGGGCACTAGCGATACTCCTCGCCGCGCTCGCTACATACGGTGAGTGTCGCGATCTTAATTACTATAACAAAATATTCAAAATAACGGATGAACAACATTTTGTGTATATTTAAGTGGTTTTACTTTTATAATGTGATCGTCTGTCATAAGTATTGATTGGAAAGTATTATCGTTATACCGACGCAGGAGGTAACAAGTTTGTTCTAATCAACGATTAGTTAATGCAAAAAAAAGTTATTACATATTACTTCTTATTATTTTTAAAATTTAGGTTTTAAAATTTTCAAAATCAGTTTAATTTGTAATTAAAAACTGTGTTATCTATACTGTATATAATAAAATTCTAATTCGTTCAAATTTGTATACATTAAATAATTTTTTGAAAATCTTATTGAAAAATTTTCGACACGGAGATAGAATCTATAGTTTTTAGAATTTTTGTCTGTTTGTCTGTCTGTCTGCTTGTGACCGCATTACGAGAATATCACTAGACAGATTTGGATGAAAATTTAGCATGATGATAGCTGGTTATCCGGGTCAACATATAGGATACTTTTTACTGCTGGAAAATATCTCATATCTAAGAAATCTATACTAAATATACTAAACGCTAAAACATTACTAGGGACAAACCCGAGCGGATTAAGGGCGAGTCGCTAGTTTAACATAAATTTTAAGATATGTGCTTTATTATCGTATAGTTTTTAAAAAGATTCAGTCATTTAAAATAATGTAGACTTACAGACAAAACAAAAAGAGTATGTCTACTAACAGGTCCCATTCCCAGGTATATCTTCGCCACTAAAGGACTAAAACAAAACTCGATGCCCTACATTAAAGATGCAATCTAGACTGACTTAAGCGCTCAGCAGTCTTACTTTAAATTTTACATCTAAATTATTATAATTTTAATAACAAAATACTGTACGGATTTCAAATGAAAAATAACGTCAATTAGGAATTTAAAAAATACTAGCGGACCCGACAGACGTTGTCCTGTCTACACGTCTTTAATTTGAAAATTTCAAACTTTTTTTAATAATTTTTTTGATGAAAATTAATATTCAAATTGTGAATCTAAACCATTCCCAGATCCCCTTGAACACACACAAAAAATTTCATCAAAATTGGTCCAGTCGTTTAGGAGGAGTTCAGTCACATACACACGCACACAAGAAATATATATATTAAGATTATATTTAAACATTTTCATAGCCTTTTTACGAGTACTCTCCGAGGTACCTTCTTCATTTCATATTTATCAAATTTCACATTTTGTTATAGAAACTTTAATTGATTTTTAAAGAATCGTATGCTAGAATTCTACAAAACAACCGAAAAATGTATTTGTGACCGAGTTTTAATAAAGAAAGGAAGTGTAATTTTTGTGTTACGTTAGATACAATAATGATTTTTTAAATAGAAAAAACCCACACGAGTTTCAAATATAATTACATTGAATAGCTCCATAAGACATTAACGTTGAAATGTATGTAAATTAAATATTAAATCGTAAGCTTGAACAATTACAGGAAATACTTGTTTTAAACTAAGTTTAAAATATTTATGTAACCACGATAAATTAAAATTACTAAGATAGGTCTTATGAAGTTAACTAACCAAAAAAAAATGTTTTTTATATATTTATACTTAATGAGATTTTTTGTGTAAGACTGTACTCGCTAAAACTTAAGGATACGACATAATATGTAGGTACTTATATGGAAACTTTTTATTTTGGGTTTGAATTTCATTTGTCATTTATGTTATTAATATTGTAAAGAGGCAGAGTTTGTTTGTTTGAACGCGCTAATATCAGAAACTAGGTACTAATCCGATTTGAAAAATTCTTTTTTCAGTAGGTAGGTTTATTGAGGAAGGTTATCATAATATAATATATAGTCTATTCCATACTAACCATTAAAATGTACCTAGAGACGAACTAGAGCTAAGCGAGGGTGAGTCGTAGTGGAATTATATTGTGGAAGATTGTACAACAAGTTGGCGATAAAATAAAAATTAATTAAAGGTACAATAAATCGAAGTAATTATTGTATTAGGTGTATGCATTTCTAAAGATTTTATTTATTATTATGAAAATAAATAGAACCCCGGCGAACCCAGAGCGGATTACTAGTTTAAAAGATTTACTAAGTACGTAACTGATTTCAGATTTATGGCATAATGTCTATAAAGCTTCTTAGATATTATCTGCCTCCATCTAAGATCATTGCGTTGCAATTTCTAATTATAGTTTTGATTAGAAACTTGTCTTTATTGATCTCTTGTAATCTAAATTAATCATACAACTTTTGATTAATTATATAGGCAGGTAAATGCATTTAAAATTATATAGGTAAGATACTTATAAAAAAAGACAATTTTTATTTTTTTGTCTGTTTGTCTGAGTAATCTCCAAACGACTGGATCGATTTTGACGGGATTTTCACTGGCAGATAGCTGATGTTATAAGGAGTGACTTAGGCTACTTTTATTTTAGAAAAAGAATTAGGGTTCCGCTCAAAAAATTTTAAACGTACCTACGCATGCACCCGAGCGAAGTGGGGGTAAATCGATAGTTCTTCATAACTTGACAAAGTTATTTACATACAAAGATTTTAGTATAACCTTAAAATTAAAACAAGATAAAACTTGAGTAAAATATGCTGGGGTAAAGGTACGAATGGCTTTCTTTTACAACAAATTTTTGCAATAAGCGCCTAAGCGACATAGATATACTGGGATAGTGCATCTAAATTTATAATACTATATTTTTTTATCGGAATGAGTACATAATATAACTTTTACAATTTTATATTAATAATTATATATATATATATATATATATATATATATATATATATATATATATATATATATACTTATATATATACATAGATATAGAAAAGAAGCTAAATACTTCAAAAAACTTGAAATTATCCCCTTGCGTGAAAACGTAACAGACAGACAAAGTTACTTTCGCATTTATAACAAGATAGTGGCAAAATATATATAGTATGTTGAAACATCATGAACAAGGTATTTTACCACTTAGTATACATACGTGTTTATTTTCGTAGTGCCATTTTTGAGTACAAAATTAAGATTAAGAAAAGTAAAATATATTATTACAAGCGCGAATCTTTCTGAAGAGAAAATTATGCAGCTGATTTTATCTTTACCTATTAAATTTTCCAATTACTTTAGAACAAAGTTTGCAATTAATTAGCGGAACAGTGATAATAGTTTAAATTAATACACTTTGTACCTCAATTTATAATTAAACAAAAACAAGTTTTATTATGTGGCAATACATGAGTATACATTTAGTATGTATGTATTCAGCCCTTTCTTACGTCCCACTGCTGGGCACGAGCCTTTCATACGAGGGGGATCAGGTCATAGTCCACCACGCTGGCCAAGTGCGGGTTGGCGGACTTCACGTCTTTCAAAAATTTAAGCAAAAGCAAAATAGAGAGAAATTATAAAATTATTTTCCATTTACCCATCTTAAGCCTTTTCTCAAAAGAAATGTAATAAAAATATTCAATGTATACTGTGTATAATGTAACCTCGTTGCTTTTTCCCTACAAGTCACCCTCAAGTCATTAACTTTTCTTCTTAGTACAATATTCTAATATCCTACATAAACTTGGTATACAACTTTTCATTAATTAATTCGTAACTGTTACAAACTTAGGAACTCCTCGAGCAGTAAGAACTTATGTGTCTTATTTATCAATCTATACAGATAAATAAAATTGATGTATCTCTTTGTAAAATAACAGTTTTTATATAGGTATGCATATGAAATTATAAACGGTGCTTATAAGAAAAACACAATTTTTAAACATTTTGTCTGTCTGTCTTTCTGCTAAATGCATATGAAATTATATATGGTATGCAGGGTAAAAGTAGCCAATGTTACTCATAGACAATCAGTTCACTAGTTTAGAAATTTACCTCCTACATCCAAACTTTACCTCTTTATAATATCTATTAGAATATACATACATAATAGGTATATAATTCGATTACAAATTTATTATATATTTTACGTACACGTAGATCACATAGGTATTTAATCGTACACGTAGGTATTTAATCTTTTATTTGCCACGTGTAATGATCGTATAATAATATAAATAATACCTACATATTATGTATATTTAGCTTAGGTCTTCGGTTCATTTTTTGTTTTCACTCGAAAGATAATAAAGAGCAGATAAAGTTTAATATATTAAATAGTGCATAAGGTTAAAGTGTATATAAATATGTATGTGTACATTTTTGAATACGATATAATAATATTATAATAATGGGAGTTACCTAATTATTATGATAATTAAGAAAACTTGATTGACATTAAAATAGATAAGATAGTACGATCTCATCAGATGAATGAGCCGATGAATGAAAAGGAAAAAAAGAAGTCTCTAACGCGACCATGTTTGTTGTAAAGCATTCGATACGTCGAAACCAAAAATCAAAATAAAGCCGCATAGCCCAGTCGAATTAGGATTTGATAATGCAATAATTTTTAACAGCAATTTTCCTTCGGAATTCTTTGAACTATTTTTCGTGTAAAATTGAAAATAAACGAGTCATTTAATAAACAAAAATCAACCCTTAAATTAAAGATGGCGGATGACGCAACGGGTCTTTTACCCCGAAAATATAAATTTAGACTTCCAGTGACCCCCCTCAAAGAATTCCTAACGAAAATTGCTGTTAAAAATTTTGTTAAAAATCATCTAGGCTACCGAAAAAATCCGAAAAGATACTTTTATTTAAAATGAAATAAAACAACATGAAATACAAGTGAAATATGATTTTCACGAATAAAGAAGAAGTGTATAGGTTTATACATAACATGTAAGCTTTTAAATAACAACAGATTGAATGTATAAAACAAAATGAGTCTGTAATTGAATTTAAACTGAATATTACATGCATCATCTTTATAACGTTCACGAGTGACCTACTTAGGTGTATTGTTTAAAGTAAAAAAATGCACTTGCACTTCCTTATTAGGAGGTCGACCACCGCACGCAGTCTGCATCTTGATCCCGTAGCGGGAGCTACGAACCGCTACGTATGTCTACGCGCAAGTTAAAGTAGTTTAAGGTCTGCCCCACACTATAGTGCCGATCACGGTTCGTCCTCGGTCTGATATCGGTCTGGTAAAGTATTTATTTATACAAGAAACAATAAGTGTATTCACACTATCAGTAAGAATGAATTTCCGGTACAGTCACACTCCAGCAACGTTTTTTATATAAAAATATTTTACCACTCCGATATCGGACCGAGAACGGACTGTGATCGGCACTATAGTGTGGAGCGGCCCTAAATATCCTCTTAAAAAACTGCCATTATTGTACAAACTTTTATTTAACTTGCAATGTTTGTATGAATGTTTGTTCGGGTGAAATATTACAACTGAATTTAAAATCAGTTATCCTCAACACAAGCTGTAATTTTGCATACACGTTTAGTTTGGAGAACAATTCATGGTTAGATAAGTGACTACATTCTAAATCCAATGTGGCGGACAACCAAATATGGCGGAATATGTTTTTTTATGCACCCCATGATATGTATATATCAAATGAAAAGGGTTAGCTGAGAAGAATTCTAATAAATATCTAAAAAAATAAATAAAGTTCAAATTAAATTAAACTCATGTATTATACAACTTATCTATACTAATATTATAAAGAGGCAGAGTTTGTTTGTATTTTTGTTTGAACGAGCTAATCTCGGGAACTACTAATCCGACTTGAAAAATTCTTTTTGCATTATATAGCCCGTTTATTTAGGAAAGCTATAGGCTATCTATCATCCCGGAAAAATGTACGGTTCTCGTATGATAGATTTGTTTTTGTCTAAGGACGTGCCGAAGCGAAGCAATTGTGAGTCGCTAGTATGATATAAAAGCTTAATAAAATAAAAATATTTTTGAATATTAATTTATTTAATGCAAAATTGGTGAAAATTCGATGATATCTTTTCAAAAATCATAATATTTAAGTAACGTACAGGTCATTCAAAAATAAAAATATTTCTAATTTCTTTGTCTAAGGCTCGTCTTACGTCCAAATCCTATGTAGTTGGAAACGAAAACGAAAGAGCTCATCGAAACCCTGAATACCTTCAATGTGCATATAATAAACCATTCCTAGTCCCCTCCTCTATTATTACATAAAAAAGTTTAGTATAAATTCAACACCTGTACTACTTTAATATATATATAGAAAAAAAAGAAAAAAATATATGTTTTATGTCTGTCATCTAATTATCTAATAGTATTAATTGCTAAACCTGTTATGATAAGTTTGTCGATGTCGATCGTATATTAGTATGATATAATAAAATATTATTTTTATCGTATGAATTCTAAATATATCTTCAAATAAAGAATATTATTTCTTTATCCATATATACTAGAAAGAAAACTTTAATCGTTTAAATGTTAATTTTCAGTACAATGTGCACCATCGAAGGTGCGCGTGCGCCTACAAGATGGTTGGGTATGCGGAGTTACTGGTACGGCTGAAAATAGTACTGTCTTTGCGAGTTTTTTGGGTGTGCCGTATGCGAAGCAGCCTGTTGGCGACCGCAGGTTTCGTGTGAGTAATGCATTTATTTTATACATTAGAATGTAATAATAAAGAAGGCACCATAACACATGACTTTATAGCACTATAGCTGCGCGCTTATATCGTTAATAATTAATTCAATTCTACAGATTTCTGATTAGGGTTCATCGGGGAAGAAATACAAAAATCTCAGTTTAAGAGCAATTTTCTTATTTCAGGAATTAGAACCAAATGAATCATGGGATGATTGTTACGATGCGTCTACCGAAGGACCGATTTGTCCTCAACACGACACTTTATATGGGCCGTTGCTAGCATCTTCCAACATGGACGAGGCATGCATATATGCAAATATCCACGTACCCTTGCACGCTCTACCCGAGTATAACACATGGAGACATGCGAGACATCTTAGGCCGCCGTACGAAACTGGACTCAATGAGAACGAACAGAGTGGTCCTGGTCTGCCCATCCTCGTCTTCATACATGGAGGAGGTTTCGCCTTCGGTTCTGGTGGGATTGGACTTCATGGCCCTGAATACCTTATTAACAGAGATATCATTGTTATCACTTTTAATTATAGGTGAGTTGCCTATTTATACCAGTTTTTTGAATGTACTGAGGAAAGTTTTGAGCTTGAAATAAACAACGCGATTCAATTTAAACCCTATAGATAACGTTAGGACAATTCAAATACCATATTTTTCATGCTTTCCATCTTATTTTAAACCATGTGCTTACCACATATAAAGACAATAAATTTATTCATAAGCACATATTATATTAAGTCTTATTATAAGGAGGAAGTGTTTAGTGCTATTGCGTTTATACATATATCTAATTCGAAGCCTTATTAATTAATGTAGTTCCGCATTGAACGCAATTTAAAGTAATTCATTTTGATAGTAATATTAATTATGTGCATATAGATATTTCATTAATCATATTTTTCCAACTAGTTTAAATATTTTAAAATTGACATCCTTAAAAACAGTAAATGATGCAATTTTTATTTTTACGAATGTGTATGTTAGTTTTGAGAAAAACTAAAAATGATGTACAATTGAAGACCTCGTATTTAAAGTTTTTCTGGAATATAGGATTAGACAAATATTTCCTAAGAAAAAGTTTTTTTTATCGATAATAATATGATAAACGGGGATAATGAAATGGGTCAAGACAACATAAATTATTGTAAACAATCGATATGTGCGTCAGATATATGTAATCCAAGATATTAGGTAAAAATAAAATAATGCTTACGTAATATGAATTATTTATATTAATTATAATAAGTTATATATGCGACACTATTTATAATGGACACATTAACTAGGTAACGAGATAGTAATAAAGCTAAACCGGAATCGTACGCGTGTAATAAAAACAATAAAACATGTTGAAATGAGGTCCCTGCTCTCAGATTAAAAACCTAGTGTTGAAATATAAAAGAACCAGCGACTTTTAACGTTTAGTATACATTTCTCAGAGATGCGATATTTTCCCACAGTAAAAAGTATCCTATACCTAAGTTGACCCTTATAACCATTTATCATAATACCAAACATCAAAATCTGTTTATCTCGTGAAGCGTTCCCAGACAGACAAACAAAAATTCAAATTATTTTATTTAAATACGTTTTACATATTATATTTTCTTAATGTATATATCTTTTTAAATTAAGTTTACATATAATAAAATTGTAACTAAGCCGAATCTGTACATTAAATATTTTTTGGAAAATCTTATTGAAATAGACATTATTAGCGATACAGAGGCCGAATCTATAGTTTTTAGAGTTTTTGTCTGACTGTCTGTGAACGCATCACGATAAAAACACTAGACAGATTTTAATGAAATTTGGTATGATTATAGCTGGTTATCCGGGTCAACATATACTTATAGTACTTTTTACTGCGGGAAAATATCTCAACTCTGAGCTAAACATTAGTCGCTAGTTAATTAATATTATAGTACCTACTATGTATTGAAAAAAAAAACAAATGTAGGGCTTTCTTGTGATTCTTATATTACTTTATATTTGGTTTAAAAGAAGAAAATATATTATGTCAAAAATGTTATTTTAATTATTATAAACCATTAATTTAACCGCCAATATCTGCGATTTATTTCCGTTTAGTTTGCGTCTAAATTAAAACACAGCCTGAAAATATTTTAATAGATTTGATATTTGATAGAATTGTGTATTTCATTTTCAGGCTAAATGTCTTCGGCTTTCTCTCCCTCAACTCCACAAGTATTCCGGGCAACAATGGACTAAGAGACATAGTGACACTTCTGAAATGGGTGCAGGCCAATGCGAAGTCTTTCGGTGGAGACCCCGACAATGTAACGCTGGGAGGGCAAAGTGCTGGAGCGTCTTTGGCCCATATTTTATCAATGTCGCTTGCGACTGAAGGACTTTTTAAAAGGTAAACAAGTCATTTTGAATAATATTTATTATGATTTGATTATGATTAACGATATACTACTTGCAGACTATGAGCTGTGATTTAATTGTCTTTTAATTTACTCCTACTTATTAATAGTTCATTAAAAGTGTTTCCTGTTTTAGAGTAATATTGATGAGTGGCACTGGAATTCGTAGTTACTTCACAACTTCTCCGGCATATGCAAAGTTTGTGGCAGATCTATTCTTGTCTAGCGTTGGAATTAATGCCACAGATCCTGAAGATATTCATCAGCAATTAATAGCAATGCCTATTGAAAAAATAATGGAAGTAAATAAACAAATTCAAGAAAAATTTGGACTTGTAGCTTTTTTTCCAGTCGTTGAGACCCCAGTTCCAGGATTTACTACAATATTAGACGATGATCCCGAAACACTCCTATCCAAAGGTTTTGGAAAGAATATTCCACTTTTGATTGGTTTTACAAACGCAGAATGTGAAATATTTAGACCTAACTTTGAAAAAATTGACATATTGGGTAGTGTGAAAGAGAATCCACTTTTAATTCTATCACCAAATTTAATTTATAAGTTACCACTCAAAGTTGCAGTTGATGCAGCTCAAAAAGTAGAAAGTAGATATTTCGATGAAGAACCGACAATGGAAAAATACATACAAAGTTGTTCGGACACATATTATGTTTACCCCGCCATCAAATTAACAGGGACGAGGGCATTAATGGAAGGCGCTCCAGTATTTTTGTACCAATATTCCTATGAGGCGGACTTCAGTGTAATTAAAAAGTCTAAAGGATTGCAGTTTAAGGGCGCGAGCCATATAGAAGATGAAACATTCATCTTTAGAGCAAACGCCATGGAAGGCACTAAAGGGTTCTCACCTCGAACGCACAAAGATCAATATATGGTGGATCAGATGACTACGTTTGTCAAAAATTTTATATGTTGCAAGTGAGTTTTTTTTAATTAATGACTTTATAATTAACATTTAGCTTTAATTAAGCAAGAATTTAGTCTGGTTTGAACTCTGCTATACAATACGAAGATATATTTCATTAAGGTTTTTATGCATCATGTACGGGAAAAGCGCGTCAAGATAAATAAATCTTACAATAATGAAGTACAGGTGTGATGGTCATTACGTTTACAAGAGTATACTTTTCAATGATTTTAACAGAGAATAATAACTATTACCTTTAACGTAATATTGTATAATTCGAAAACGTATAATTTCTAAGAACAATCAATTTATTCCAGCAACCCCACTTGCGACGAAGGACATCGGCAGACTTGGCCTGCTGCAAACGAGCACCTGCCGGTCCAGTATCAAAGTATTGAAACGCCCGGTTTAATTAGTTTCAAAAAACAAACAAAGGAGCAGCAAGAGATGGTTCAGTTCTTCGATAGATTACAGACTGGGACCAGTTAAATTCTATTTGTGACGTGTAGTACTTGTGCGGTTGTGACGAGTGATTGTGTTACTATTTAATATTCCATAGCTAAGATAGCTCTATAAAAAGATCGCAGTGACTCTAAATGATAGAAACGAATTTGACTGAAGTTTTGTGAGCAGTTATAAATAATTTATTTTAATTATTTCTAATCTGATAAGTTTATGTTAAGTCTCAGCCGTCCACAATAATCAGGTCATTTCTTGAAGTTACTGAATATCATATTTATGTTTTTTTTTTTAAATTACATATCTCGTGTTTTGAGAGGGAAAAACTATTGTAAATCTATGTACTTTAGACATGAAATATATGACTTCGTATGTTGTTGATGAACAATAAGTATGATTCGTGTCTCTAATGTAAAGAACTGAATGAAAAATAAGATCTGTGAATCAATGTGACGTTGATTATTAAAGTAAAAATACTTTTTAATTGGTCATATATAAACAAAAAGTGTTATATTATGTACAATAAATGTGTAAACTAAAGTTTTCCAATACGCATATAGAGAAAACAAGTAGAAGTAAGTATATTGCAAATGCCAACAAAGCAGGAACATGTATTTCAAATTGATATGTTTAGATTTCTGATATTTTTAGTTTATCGAAATATGGACTCGACTGATATCAAATTTTAACAAATCGACCTTATGTATTTTAAAATTAATTTTGTTTACGAGTACATTTTCTTTATCTCCTTTATCTCAGAACCTATTAAGAATGTATTGAATTTATAATACATATGTAGAATAGAACATTTGTGATACATATTCTATAATGAAGTGGAAATCTTAATTAGTACAAAGTATCATAATATTTGTAAAAATTGAACACTCAATTGTTAAGTTAAGGTTATATTTTTATTGTATAGGATAAAGACGTATAAATTATTGTGGAAGTGGCGAGAGGCCGACCGTATTATTAAGATAAGGAGAAATTACAAAATTATTTTGTTTGTTTGTATGTTAGGTACTTACTTATAAGGTTACAGCGATTGTACATTATAGATTTTATCGTATTTTGTTGTCAATTATTTCGTTTACCGTCAGCAATATATACACACTAGCATTGTCCGCGGCTCCGCCCGCGTTCAGATGACCAAAAACCAAATTCTTAGGTTTTACATATTAGTATACTCTTACATTGCAGTTTTTGTATTTTTTCTCAGAAATGAGATATTTTTCCGCGGTAAAAAGTGTTATATGTTGACTCGGATAACCTACAAATTTCATCAAAATCTGTCCAGTGGTTTTCTCGTGATGCGGTAACAGACAGACAGACAGACAGACAGTCAAAAATTCTAAAAAGTATACTACTATCGATAAGGACTATCGATAATATGTCTATTTCAATCAGATTTTCAAAAAAATATTTAATGTACAGATTCGGCTTAGTTAGAATTTTATTATATGCATAGATAAAGATCTGACATTATTATAAGACTAGCAGAACCCGCGGCTTCGCCCGCGCTAAAGCTACAAAAAAATCTCTAAAAAGTACACAGTTTCATACAAAATTTCATTCTCTATTTTACCCCCTAATAGGATGAATTTCGAAAAATGCTAAAACGCGTATTTATTTAATTTTATTGAAGAGCATTAATACCGAGTTACAAGTAATTCTGATCATAAATATTTTTTTGGATTGTATTATAACGTGTTTTCCCGTGGGAATTAGATAATTTCCGCGGTAAAAAGCAGCCTATGTCACTCTCCAGCCCTCCAATTATCTACAAAGAAAAAATAACGCCAATCCATCATTAGTGGATTTTTTAAATGAACGCTGACTGTAATTATTAGGGTTTCGAGTCTGAAAGGTGCGGAAGTATATCCTCTACTAAGACTACGTAAAGACAGACAAGTCAAACTTCGTGAGATTTAACCACTTTTTAACATAAGTTTCTATTTTATTCAATAACTAGCGATTCAGCCTCGCTTCGCTCAGCCTAGGTTCGCTTTAACGGTAAGTATGGAATAGACATTATATGTATATATATATATATATATCTATATGCCTATGTATGATGACTGTTATATCTAACTTAAGAAATTATTGATTCCCCATATAAACTTTCATCCCCCTTTTCAACCCCTTAACATATGCTTGCCAGGATAAAAACTATTCTATGTCCTTCCCAGGGTCCCAAATTATCATCATACAATCTAAATCGGTTTAGCGGATATTAAGTTTATCCATTACATACAAACATACAAAAAACATTGTTTTCTTTATTAATAGTAGGATAAATATGTAAAAAAAGCCATATGGTGGTACGGAACTCTTGGTACACAAGAAGAATCGCACTTCTATTTTCACAGATATATCTATTTTATTTATATTTCCTACTTAGTTACCAAATTCAAGGTGCCTGGTTTATCAAATTCATAAAACAGCAACAAAAAAAAGTTTTTTTTTAAATAATATATAATTTCCGGCATTCTAATAGGTAAGTACTTAATATGCAGAGATCAGGTGAATCTTAAGGACCATGTTAATTCTATAATTTGTTGAACTTCAGCGAATATCGAAGTAACGACCACCGAAGTATAAATTCGAACTGGTTTTTTTGTACCAAAACCATGCAACTATAAAATTTATAGTTATAGTTTGGTTATGGTGTTGGTCGTGTAAATAGGAAGTTAATTAATTTGCGGATTTCAATCATATTGACACGTAATTGTTAGTATCGCTAGTGAGTTCATTGTGCCCATATTATTGGATACACGGAAATGTAATATCTCGATGGTACACGTACGACTTTCATTAGATTACGATGGACATTCTGTTTTATATTTTTCTTATAGATATTAAGTTTTGTTACTATTTTACAGCTAAACTGCAAGGTCATTGTTTAATACAATACTGCGGATAGACTTCCATCCGTTAACTATCAAATTTTTTTTTTTTTGTTATTGAAGCAAAGTTGCTTATACAGGTTGTCCCAGAAAAGTAGTAAAATGTTGGTGTAAAGTGAAAAATTTACGTTCGGTAAATTAAGACTTAAATTTTCAACTTAAACAGTTGACTTCATGGTTCCTAAGTAGGTCTAATGTGCTAAATCTAAGAAAGTATTACAATAATTATATTACAACAACTTGTGAGTCCACACAACATTAATTTGGTACTAAAAATATATTTAAACGTAATGCATTGCGGTAATATCAATGAGTCGACATTGATTGTTCGCAGTTGATACGCGCTATAATTTTTGTATCAATCAACGTCGACATTTACAACTTTTTTTTGTCAAAATTTTTAGTTAGGAGATAAAGCATTTTTCATACAAAATTAGTTAAATAAAAAAAAAACAAATATATATTATTTTTATACTGTCACATAAATAATGATTAAAATTGCGTTGATCATAATAACATGGTATACACAAACAAGTGTTCAGAATGTGATCAATCTGGCCCAAGGTAAAATACGGGGTATGCCGAGAGATGGTTACATTTTCTACGGGGGAATCCCATACACTTCAATAACCGGTCCCACTGGAAGGTTTAGGGTAAGTTTTTAAAAAAAAAACCATGCTAAAACTATAAATTTAAAGACACTAAGGCAGTCAGTGAACTCACTTTTTCGTCATCGATTTGTTTGTTTTTCGTCTTGGCACTTTTATGTTTATCGATCCCGGACTCATACCGTAGTCGTTGTTAAAGAAACGTGCACCTTTTGTTACTTCTAGTTTATTAATTTTTTTATGTATTCATTTTCAATCAAATCAAGTTATTTATTTTAAAACACTCGTAACACTTATTCATCCTCATAGTTAATATATATATATATATATATATATATATATATATATATATATATATATAAATAGCAAATCAATATATATATAATATAAATATAAATAGCCAGTGTTAGCCATATATATATTTTTTGTTAATTTTTCTGACGTTTTAATACTTATTATCCTATTTCGGACTAAATCAAATATTATAAAAATTGGTCCAGCCGTTTCTGAGTTATAAATGGTGTAACTAACACGACTTTGTTTTATATATACCTAATACCTATATTTACCTTATTTTATATTTTTCCTCTTTATTAAAACTTCAGTGTACCTTAAGGAACATACGAAAAAAAATAGCTGAATTGGCCGAGCCTTTCTCGAGTTTTGCGCTTAGCAACATTCATTTTTATTTATATAGATATGAAAATAAAATATTCAATAATTCTGTTTATTTTAACTAGCAACTCGCCCTCGCTTCGCTCGGGTTCGTGCTTACGTTACTAACAGTATTGTACAAAGCAACTGAACAGATTTTTTTTCCCACTTCAATTAAACTTTTTTACTCTTACATAACATGTACATTTTAATAAAAATAATTACAAAAGTTCAGAAAACATGACGACACGTTTGGTTCAGTTTGTAGTTACTGTATTTACTGTGCCAGCGCTCGCGGGTTCAAGTCCCGCTGGGGGCATTTATTTGTGTGATGAGCACAAATGTTTATACTCTAGTCACGGATGCTTATATTTATAATATGTATTTAAAGTTAAAAAACGGTTGTAGCGAGGCGGTATAGCACCCACTTGGAAGGAAGTGCGCGCGTCCAGTGAGGCGCATTGCTTGCCAAGTTCTCCTATAGAGGAATGTTTAAAATTAGATGTTAGTGCCCCCGGTGGAGAGGCATTACCAGTCTTAGTCTGGGTCGCGGGAGGTACTGGCATGTATAATCCCACGAAATTGGCTAAAGAGGGACTCATAGTAGTGACTGTTCGACACAGGTAAAATTTTTCTAAGCTCATGTAAAGGAAAATATTGATATATAGCACTCAAGTGACATAGTGTATGTCTCTCCTGTGACTGTTTGCTGTAAATCAACATACGAACAAAATTGTAAATACAACGCTAAATCTGCTTAAATTCTAATCTATCCATAAAATATCTTTCGAAACTTCGTTAAAAATCAACTTGTGCGCTTTTATATATTTATTAGAAAAACTTGTTATTGGTTAATTAGTAATTAAATATTCACTATTAAAATAGGTTAGGACCAATCGGTTTTCTATGTTCAAGTGAAGACAAAATCCCAGGCAATGCAGGACTGAAAGACGTGGTAATGGCGTTGAGATGGGTCAGAGATAATATCGTCGCCTTTAATGGGAACCCTAATAAAGTGGTAGTAGCAGGACAAAGTTTCGGAGCCGCCATGGCAGAGTCGTTGTTGGTAACACATATGGCAAAGGGGTTATTTCATGGAGTAATTTTACAGAGTGGAACTGTGCTGGCTCCATGGGCATTCAACTACGACGCAGAAGATCGAGCAAAGTTTTTAAGAATGCAATTTAATGAGAGTAGACCTGTGACTACATTCGCTAAAGCGGGAATAGCAAATCTAGCGGCTATAGCTGAAGAACTGAACCTACCTTATATGCCATTTGGTATATGTATGGAAAATCCTTTAAAAAATGAAGAAATGCTTATGTCTGCATCGCCATTAGACTTGATAACGAAGGGGAAGGTGACCAGAGTTCCTATTATGATGGGATATACTACCAATGAAGCATATATATTTTCTTCTGTGTTGAAAGATGCAAATGTTGTAAGAAAAATGTCAAAAGAAATGACTTTTTTGCTTCCTGTAGAATTACAAACTAGCAAGAGGGCGATGCCTCAGATAGTGAAAAAAGTTAATGAAATGTATTTCGAAGATAATATGACGATGCCATCAGTCTTCTCCTATCACAAGTATGTCGAATTGATTACTTGTTTATATTATTTTTTATAATCACTCTCTAAGTAATATACACATTCATGGTTTTTCAGAGATGCTTATTTTTTGAGCCATATTCATAGAAGTTTACGCTGTCACGCGTCTTCAGGTAGTCCAGTATATTACTACCAATTTTCTTATTTGGGAAATGTTGGTGTAGACGAGGAGCTCGACGTACCCAAGTTCGGCGCGGCACACTCTGACGAACTGGCTTATTTGTTTTCAGAGAAAGGAAGAGACTTAGACGGTGACGATGGAATTGTGCAAGGCCATTTAATTACTCTCTGGTCTAATTTCGTTAAGCATTTGTAAGTTATTATGCAAAGCAAATATTAAGTAAAGCAAAATGCAACTCACACTGCTACTGCTTAATCACAAACTCTCAGAAGATATAAATGCTACAAACATAAAAATGGGCAGGTAGATTTCATATATGGCATAGGTATCCATTAAGAAAGAATTTTAGTATATTCAATCCCAAAAAGGGAAAGGAAGGATATGAAAATTCGTCATGTTAAAAGTAACAGGGGCTAAAATTGAAAATAATCTTTCTCATTAAAAATGAGGATATTCAAAGTTTTAGTTCGTCCTTTGGGGATGAAAATTAGAAAGGAGTAGACTGTGCGAGCGGGACAGCGGAGAAACACCAGAGACCATTAATATATATGTACATAATATAAAAAAGATAAGACATAAAGTAAACAATATGTAAAAAAATGTACGTTTAAAGAATTATAAATTTTATAATTTTCAGGAATCCTTCAGGTGCAAGTAAGCAGATTACGTGGGAACCAGTAAATTTTCATGACATTAAGGTGTTGAATATTAATATCGAATTAAATTTTATTGAATTTCCTTATAAAAAGGAAGCTCAGATGTGGGAGGATGTGTATGACAAATATTATTATGAAAAGATAAGATCTTGAGTAAAAGTATTACGTAAATTTGTATAATAAATAAGAGCAGTTAATTTTAATATGGTATATTTAGTAAAAAATGAAAAAATTAATAACAAGCGCCTAGCAAGTGTTCAAGTCACTTCAATCATCTGTCCGTTAGAACTTACCTTTTCCAATTCCGTGCATGCAAAATTAGTAATTTTTACCTGTAACGAAATAAAATAATTAATTTAACGGCTTATAAATGTGTTATTTTAATACCTGAATTATTTTTTCATATTTTATTATATAATTACAGATAAATAAAAATTAAAAATACAAAATTATGTTATTCAAGGAGGTTTTGCAAAATGTTTCTGTTATTGGACGTATGATGAAGCCATGCAATATTTTTAAATTCTTCATCCTTGTGCATATCGTAAGATATTTAGTTTCAATAACAATTAATATAAATAAATATTTGAGCTGTCTCTGCGTACCTACAGGTATGGTTGTATCGCGTAGATACTAAAAGTTATTCTGGTAGCTATGGTTTACAACATTGCATATTATAAAATCGACAAAACCGAAAAACTAAACAGACAAAAGCTGTTTTTATCTACCTCGAGTGGGGTGATAATAATTGATAACGATGCTTATTGCCGATAGTAAATTAAGCTGGTACTGCCGATACAAAACTACTTTGACTAAATTTTTTTGATAAAATTGAATGATATGACTTTGAATAAAAAAAACTTTTTAAATTATAAATATACAAAACTGAAGTGTTCGTTTATAGCATAGCTGACATAATACCATACCAGTATAGATGCTCCATGACCCGTCTATACTAATATTATAAAGAGGTAAATTTTGTGAGTTTGTGACGTTGTAGGGGTTAATCTCTGGATCTACTTAACCGGGGCTATTTTTGTTTTCTGGAATAGATTAATAATAGATGGTCTTCAATTACGGCGCTCTTTATACATTGATAAAACAATTTGTGCTTTCTATTTGCTGATTAGTAAATAAAATTGATAAGTATATATGGTTTCGAAATATTTACCCCATATTGAGTTCAATGCATTTTTTTATATCTGCTTCTACCCGCTTGTCTCCGAAATATCAGATTCGAATATGACGAACATTTCCTTATAGATTGTGGTTTTAAATAATATGTATTATCAGCTACTTTTTAATAAGGAAAGGAAAGGTATTTCATTTTTTTTTAAATCATTTAGATACAAAAACCCCCGCTGTAGGTAGGAAACTGTAGAATTTTTTTCATGATAAAAATTTAATTAAAACCGTTGAACCGCACTCAAATAGAAAAAACGGAGACATGAGCATACTGATGGCATTTACTTCACCGACAAAAAAATAATTGGTTGTTTTAGCTTACATTTTCATCTTTTTATAAAACCAACTAGCAAAAATTACAAGTATATAATATAATTATAAATAGGCAAAGAAAAACCAGTTCAGTGCCTTTTTCACCTCTGTCAGGAGATTTTCTTTTCTTTGTTTAATAGCTATTGCTTTAGATATGAGATCAATAGTTTTTTTTTATATAAATAGGAAAATATTATTTAAATATGTTTCTCTCAAATTTTCAATAATGATTATGGTCGAATCTCGACTACTAGACGAAAACTAGTAAATATAAAAGACATGTGGAGAAAATCAATTGTCCTACAGTTCGTATAGTTTATACTAGGACAGACGAAATTCAAGTTAATATTCCGCTAGAATTTCTCCGGAGTATAGAGTGTATATGTATGCCACATGTAAATCTAAGCATTAAATAATAATCCCACTATGTCCCATCCCAATTATGTTAAAATTCATCAAGTCCTTATAGATAAGTTTCAAATAAAGGGACGACTCAATCACGTGATATCTCTATTTCCAGGATTATAATTTTAATTGCCATATAGATTATTATTTCTTAACAACTATTACCACGTAAAATGCATAGAATAATAAAGAGTTCTAGCAAGAAGAATATAATAAAATGTATTTGTTCCATAAATAAAAACTTTTCTATTCGATAATACTGTGTGATCGATCTTCTATCAGTAAAACATCGAGTGCTTTTTTATATGAACCAGTTTTCAGGACAATATTAACAGAGGGACTCGTCCCTATGACGGTGATTTTAACATTACAGTAACATTTCATATCAGTTTCCAACAATAAAATGTGGGAGTTGCTCTTGTTTGTGATTGGCGTTTCTTGCGCCGACATTGTGGAAACTATTGGAACTGCTAATGAAACCACCAACGATCACAATAACTCACGTAGCCTTCAAAAGAATGGTGTCCCCGAAGAGGATATAAAGAACGTCGTTGTCACTGAACACGGGCCTGTGCGTGGATACGAAAACAATGGAGTTGTACAGTTTTTTGATATCCCATATGGACGCTTTAGCGCTGAAGGACGCTTTCAAGTATTGTTTGTTTTTTTTTAAATTAATTTTATTATTAGAATATGTTTTTAAATTTTTTCTATGTTTACAGAATTCTTCGAAACCAGTACCTTGGGTAGCAATACAAGAGAAAACCGAGCACACTTCTCGATGCCCTCAAATTAACATTGAAAATGCGTATATTGGGACTCCTGAGTGTTTAACTTTAAGCGTTTTTAAACCTCAAAGCGCTGAGTCGTCTGGCGTCCTTTTCTATATACACGATAGTAATTTCAGTAATGGGAGCGGTGATCCGCAGAAGTATATCCCCAAAAACTTAGTATCTAAAGATTTAATTGTTGTCTTACCTAACTACAGATTGGGACCGTTGGGATTTTTGTGTTTTCAAAACAGAACTGCTCCGGGCAACGCCGGCCTTAAAGATTTGTCTTTAGCTTTAAAATGGACCTTTGACAATATTAAGAACTTTGGGGGAAATGCTTCTAATATTGTAGTCAGTGGATCAGGCGCTGCCGGCGCTATGGTAGAGTATTTATTATTATTTAATGGTTCAAGAAGCTTTATTTCAAAGGCGATAGTAGAAAGCGGTTTTACGCTCTCACCGTGGGCGTTAGACAGAAATCCATTACGTACTGCAGAGAAATTAGTGGATAAGTTACATACCGCTGGTTCCAGTATTAATTCAATTGAACAGGCAGACATCGAACAGCTCATAAGAGCTGCGAAGGATATTGATTTTAGGCCATGTATTGAATCTGAGGCAGGATTCCTCAATCACTCACCTTGGGCCCTTCTAGAGAATCAAACATTAAAAATACCCTATATGTCAGGATCAGCGAACGAAGCGGCTATGGAAGAAGCTTTTCAGCAAACAGAGGAAAGTTTATCGCATCTTAATCTCAACACATACTTATTGCTACCAAGTGACCTGAAATTTGACAATGATGAGGAACGGGATAAAGTTGGAAACCAAGTGAAAAATCAATACTTTGGAGAAAATGACATAACAATGGATAATAGGATAAAACTTTCGCAGTGTCTTAGTGATAGTAAATATATTTATCCTGGAATACGAGGCGCTAGACTCCTCATAAAAGGTGGATCTACTGTTTTCTTTTACGAGTTTTCCTATAGTCGAGAGGCAGATTCAGGTGCTGGACGAGGTGCTTTTATTAACCTTGTATTTAGCAAGATAGATACCAATGATGAAGGTACTTCGTACACTGAAAATGAAGACAGCATGAAAACTAAAATAACAAACATATGGGTCAATTTTATTAAAACTGGGTAAGTTTTGTAAAAACCTTTTATTCTTGACGTTATAGTTAAGACATTTCGTTTTAATTATTGTGCCTCTGACCTAATAAGTGATCGGCCATGGCGTCTAAATTCATTAAGATTTGCTGTTTACGTGGTAGATATTATAATACACAAATGATTGCACATGTACAGTGTTATTTCTTTTATTTTCAGTGTGCGGTGAGAGCACAGGCGCTGTGACTAATATATTATTCATATGATTTAAGAAAAATTTTGGCTAAAGTATTAATTTTTTTTGTCCTACGTGTTTTCCGAGAGATATTTCGGTTTTGTACAATTTAACAATACGATTGTTACTGCGGCTTTCGCCCATAGTCGCAAACATAAAGATTTATGAGGACACAAAACTGTGCTAACATTTTTCTAAAACCTTTCGTTATTTCGAAGCTACCTATTGACTACACCTTATTCATTGTATGTCTACAAACGTTCTTCAGATTTCAGTTATATATAAACATAAAATTAGCACCATTACTTGTACTGTAGTTCTCGTTTCACCTACTATTATAATTTATTATTATTTAAAGCCAATTATTATAACATACCTATACATTATTAATAATTTTAAGCATATTTGAAATAAAAAAAAGCCAAATTGAAAATACAACATATATAAAACATACAGATAGTTAGTCATACGACGTCAAAGTTATAAACTCCTTAACTTATTGATGTTAAAATGGTAGAGCACTATAAACTCTGTGCTTATTCCAGAAATCCATCAACAGATGCCATCGAATGGAAGAATATGACAGCTGAAGAAGAGTGGTTATCTATAGGCAATGAGTTCGAAATGCATAAAGGTTTCCACGCTGAACGGATGAAGCTATGGAATGACATCTATGAGAAACACTTCGTTGAGCACAATATTGGCCTTGAACTAAAACCATCGACTTACATTACATTAGCGAGCCTAATATTTTTAGTAGATTTCCGCATAAAATGTCTTATATAGAACAAAAATGATTGTTTTGCACCAATTAGAAAAATAAGTAAAGCTTGCTAAATGGTATGCATGTACCATATAAATTAGTATATTAATATATGTATTATTTATATAATATATGCCATGTACTTAATAATTTCATTATAAATGGAAGCTAATATTAAAATAACATAATCGCAATAATTCAGTGTTTCTATTTCTATTAATTAACCTCAATTTACTTTTACCATACACAAAAAAGAACCATTAAACCATTCAGTTCCCATCGTAATAACTATTCAAAAGATTAGAATAACGAAGGAACACACCGAAGGATGTTATATTGCGACGCGTTCGAGCGTATGAAATAAACATGTCCATGGATGTTTTGATTATTTAATGTATGTTTAATAACATGGTGTAAGTACACACTTAAAATTATTAGGGGAGTTATACTTACGTAAATCAAAGCGTGTTCAGATCGAGTTCACTGTACACTAAAACTTGATGACTGAGTACCGGGGCATGGTAGTGGTAATCCACCTGTTGCCCATGCTCGTCTGCAGTGCAAACCCGCCATCGCACCGGGACGTGGTGACGACACAGGGTACAGTGAGGGGGTACTACGCGCCCCGACCACCTCACTACGCGTACCTCGGGCTGCCCTACGCCCGCCCGCCCACAGGACACGATAGGTTTAAGGTCAGCTTCATTTGTTGATACGAATCTAATTTGCGGTGTTGTTAGATCGTTACACGATGGATTAGTGATATTGGAAAACATTATTACTTTTTAGCTATGTTTTTGTAACTACGTATAATATATACGTCATACGTCTTAACTCGTAAGTTTGCTCAGAACCCTAGTGACATTTTGTATAATTACTTATGCCAAAAACACCAAAAAGACACTGTTATATAAATAAATATTAATAATAAATTTATTATTTATATAATAAAAAAAATATAAATAAAAAAAATTAAAACAAGACTTATCAAGTTCACTCTCATTATGGTGCGTTCCTAGACACTTTTAATTTTTTTTTGAGCGGAACCCTATTTCTGTTTCTAAAATAAAAGTAGTCTAAGTTACTCTACATACTTATAACATCAGTTATCTGCCAGTGAAATGCCCGATTTCACCAACGTCACCTAAGTTTAAGGGATCCCCTAAGCATGGTTAGGGGGCTGTTAGGAGACAGTTTCTGTTTCACCGACAGTTAGGGGTCATCTAAGTATTAAAAGACCCCCTAAATTTAGGTGCTCGAAATATGAGCTTCAAGACGATCGTAAAACGAAATTTAATTTAGGAGCTAGTTTAGGGGACTTTTAAGCTAGGGATCCCATGCGTAGGTGGTAGCTTATGGGTTGTTGGTGAAATCGGGCAAAAGTCCCGTTAAAATCAATCAGCTGTTTCGGAATTAGCCGTAACAGACAGACAAAAATTTTAAAAATTGTGTTTTTCTTAACATTACCAGTACAATTTTATATGCATTTAGTAAAAAGCTGTTATTTTGATATTACAAACAGACACTTTAATTTTCTTTATCTGTATAGATAACTCAAAACCAGTGATATTACCATGGGAATATAAATATTATATCTTTTAAGGTAATCTACAACGCGTTAACGTTAAATGTGTGAGAATTACTTAAGGAAAGATTGCAATAGAAGTCGTCATTCAAAAATGCCTTAAAATTTGAATAAATCTTTTTACAATCCTGTCCTGTTACATATTAACCGGCCAATATGTATTGCACAGTTAATTTTTTTTTATCAATGGCACCTACAGTAAATTTCTAAAGTTGAAAAATTCAATATCCATTCAAAACATATGTATATAGATTTTTATCAAAAAAAATTGAACTGTTTCATTTATTACGTAAGTCGATAATACGAGGATGTACCATAAATTATTATAGTTATTATTTTTGCCATAGAGAGCAATTTCCGGTGAAGAGATTGATGATAACATACACAATGTAACATCAGGTCGACGGCGCGGTGTGACGCGAAATGCGATGGGGCGCTAATTGATTGTGAAAGCTTATTTTACTTTGAATATGTACGGAAAGAGTATTTTGTGGTAAAAACCCATTAAATGCAGGGCTTATTTATTAATGGCATAGTACAGTATGTATAAACGTGCCTAATAGGGAGTATCGAATATTCACCTTTATAATTTGTTACGATGTTTATTTTCTTGACTCGAATAGGCACTAAGTCAATATTTAATACTAGAGGCTCACCCTCACTTTGCTCGGGTTCTTGCCTAGGTACGTCTTAAAAAGATATAAACAGTTATTAGCCAGTGATAGCCATATAAATTCCTTTACCCAAATCTCCTAATCCTTCCCTTCCTTCACAGTTTCGGCCAATCTCCATTTGGCCCTTCCTTTCAAAAATCTTTGAAGACTGTATTTACAAGCAACTTTTCCATTTTTTACTACAAAATAACGTCTTAAATCCTTATCAATCTGGTTTTCGTCCTCTACATAGCACTACTAAAAGTTACTGATGACATTCGCTATGGTATGGATAATAAGAAACTAACGATTCTTATTATGCTCGACTTCAGTAGCGCATTTAATTCAGTGGACTTTGATATTTTACTAGCTATACTTTCCTCGTTTAATATCTCTTCTTGTGTTATCGCATGGTTTAATTCATATCTTCAAGGACGGCGGCAGAGAGTCTGCTCTGAAGATTCGTACTCTGATTGGGTGGATCTCACTGCTGGTGTTCCTCAAGGCGGTGTATTGTCTCCCTTATTATTTTCTATTTTTATAAATGAGCTCACTAAAACTATTTCATCTCCCTACCATCTCTATGCAGACGATTTGCAGCTGTACAGACACGCCACTGTTAACGAACTCGCAACTGAAATCGACAACATTAATTTAGATCTGACGCGAATCGGTGAATGGGCTGCTTCTTTTGGATTACTCGTTAATCCAAATAAGTCACAAGCTATGATTATCGGTAGCAGACAACTACGAAATAAAGTAAATTTCCATAGCTTGCCTTGTATCACTTATGAGGGTACGGTAATAGAACTCACTGAAAAGACAAAAAATTTGGGTTTGATTATGGATAGCCATTTATCTTGGTCGGCACACGTTAATGAGGTTAGTAGATGTTTGCATTATTCGCTTCACTCACTAAAACGATTACAAAATTTCCTTCCTCTTAAAACTAAAATTTCCTTAGCCCAATCCTTACTACTTCCTCTTTTAGACTATGCTGACGTTTGCTACTTAGATGCTACAGAGGAGCTACTCAATAAATTAGATCGACTCCAAAATCTATGCATTCGTTTCATCTATGGTTTGCATAAATTGGATCATGTAAGTGACTTTCGTCTACGACTGAAGTGGCTCCCTATTCGCCTTCGCCGGAATATGCGCATACTTACGACGTTATACACTATTTTAAGTAATTCTTCTCCTACGTACTTACACGAGCGTTTTCAGCTATCAATCCCTAGCTCAAGACCCATACGCCCTTGTGTTAGGCTAAAAAAGCTTAACGTACCTTCTTATAACACTACTTTTTATGAGAAATCCTTTACAGTACAAGCAGCAAAACTCTGGAACTCCCTTCCCGATAAGATTACATATGACAATCCATCACTAAAACTGTTTAAATCTCGTTTAAAAGAACTTTATCTAAGTGACTCCATATGATTTCCTTATTATATATTTCCTGAAGTATGTGTATGTATGTATGGATATATATATGTAATATGTATGTATGTATCTATGTACGTATGTATGTATGTTTGTATATATGTATATTTATATTATAATTGATGTTTGTAGTTTGTACCTACACCGCACCGCATTATTATTTTTATATTTTCTCACACTTGAGGGTTTCTGGTAGAAATCTCTTAAAGAGATAAGTCATCCTTTGTACACATGGCATCTGTTTTAACTTGTATGTTTTTTTTCTGGTACATAAATAAATAAAAATAAATAAATAAATTCTAAAAATATTTTTTCGTGAATTTTTCTTATGTTTTCTGCTATTCGGGGTGGAGACAATTCGAATATGTATGGATGTCTGTTACCCTTTGACGCAAAAACTACTGAATTGATTTTAATGAAACTATACTAATACAGCAGAATCACACATAGATTACTATTTATTCCTGAAAAATGTACGGCTCCCCCGGGATAGATTTCTTTTTGTTTTTGTATATATAATATATGTAATCTAATATCTATATAGAATATAGATATTGAAGGTGTAAATAATATTTATTCTATGTACAAATATAGATCTTAATTATCCGAATAAAGAAAGCTATAAATTACAATCTATACTTATTATAAAAATAAGTCCCCCGGCCGCGTCTTTCTGTCCTCCTGTCTGTCCTCCTGTCTGTCTGTACGCGATAAACTCGAAAACTACTGAACGGATTTTTATACGGTTTTCAACAATAGAAAGAGTAATTCTTGAGGAAGGTTTAGGTATATAATTTATTATGCTTTTATGTAAATTAGCTGAAATACGGCGACAAATGTTGAAGAGGTCGCAAAAAATCTCGCCAAATGGGAACTTTCCACGCGAACGCCGCGTAAACTAGCAAAGATACAGTTAAGTAATGTACTAGAGAATTCAAAATCTATAAAAATGCTACAAAAAAGTCCGCGATAGCATATCTCTATCTCTTACGGTTGACTTACAATAACCACTTTTATGTTAACATTTTTAATTAAAAACATTACGTTATTTTCAAAGTTATTTTCTTTAGTTCGGTATTAATCCTTATCCAAATGAATATTTTAGTTAGCTTAGTCATTTAATGCAGATTAAAATTGCTCTTTACACTAAATCAATCAGATGAATAGTTTTTGAGATATCGTTGTTAGAAGTAATTAGTAGCGAAACATTTTTAATGCTTGGCGAGCATTGAGATGCCTACGGCGAGTCCATCCCCTCTGCCCCGCATCGCTCGACCGCCTGCTCAAGCTATATAAACCGGGCGATGTAGCGCGCGATCCTAGGATACTTTTTACCGCGGGAAAATATCTTATTTCTGAGGAAAAATACAAAAACTGCAATGTAAGAGTATACTAATATGTAACACCTAAGAATTTAGTTTTTGGTCATCTGAACGCGGGCGGAGCCGCGGGCAATGCTAGTGTTTAAATAAGAGAAAGAGTAATGTAAAAAAAATATGTTATAAAGGTGAAGTCAAAAAGATATTTATCAAAATTAATAATAATTATAATTAAAGGCACCAACACCGCCTAAAGCTTGGACCGGGATTTTCGAAGCCATCCACAAGATCAAGTGTCCGCAGCCAGATGGTTCAGGAGAAGAGAACTGTTTGGTGCTCAATGTGTTTGCACTAGCAGGTGCAGCGTCCGCGCCGGTGATTGTGCACTTCCACGACGGAGGGTATCAGAAAGGGTAAGATCAACCGTTATTATGATTAGACTCTCTATCTCGTTTTATCTATTTTGGTATTAATATAATCTCTATTATAAATGCTAAATTATGTGTTTTGGTTTATCCGTACCGCACGTTACAGAGTTACGGATCGACGAACATTTTTGAATAGACATAATTTAGATTACAGGCTAGAATCGGTAATAGTAAAGAAGAATACTATAATGTTAATGGCGAAACTAACACCTCCAGGTGAATTTCTAAGAAATTAATTTAATTTCTAAGAAATCTATTGTTAACTGTAACGCCAACATGTCCGCGGTCGTTGATGGATGATGGAAAATAATCTAAAATCTAAAATAACTTTAACGTTAGAAAGACAATATAAATAATTTACTTCATAAACAAAGTACATATATTAAAAAACTACACACTGAAGATAAACGAAAATATTAAATATTACTAAATAACTAAATACTCGTCCAAAAGGCTTGTGGATAAAGTGATCTCCGTGGGTGGTATCGCGATCGTGCCTTAATTAGCTGTCATCGTGTCCAATGCAGGCCGCCGCTTGCCAAAACCTTACGTTGCACGATAATATTGTCATATTTTTCTTTGTTAAATATATTATGTACATACAACAACGCGTGTTGGGTAGCAGACTTATACCACACGGTCTGAATTCCACGTCAAATGCAAAGTAAACATTTACCTAACAATTATTTTGATCACGAGGGAATCGAAACGATGTACGCATTAGTTAGAAAGATTAAAATGAGTATAAAGTAGTTTATGTCACTCTCGTTGTCTAGTTTATGAATTAACAAAAAAATAAAAACCGACTTCAAACAAAAGCACTAAAAAGTAAAAAATAACTGATTGGTAGTTTTCATTTACTATACATACCTAATCAAATATTTTCGAAGTCGGTGTGCTTTGCTTTGTATGGGCTGGCACCGATTTCGAAAATATTTGATTAGGTATGTATTTAATAGGTAGGCTTTAATTACTTAGCCAAAGCACACCGACTTCGAAAATATTTGATTAGGTATGTATAGTAAATGAAAACTACCAATCAGTTATTTTTTACTTTTTAGTGCTTTTGTTTGAAGTCGGTTTTTATTTTTTTTTTTAAAAGTTTTTATTTTTCCCTTTTTAGTGTAGACAGTAGTAGCAAAGTAAGGATTCTAACGTGTTAGGCTTGTCAAATCAAACAAAATAAGCCCAAACTCAAAGTATCTACTATTAGCCGTTGAAGAGTTCCACCTATCCACTTTCTGGCCTTGCCATCAGATCAGGTCAACAACACCGAACTACTGTACTATCAACGGAAATAGAAATACTTGCAAAGTTTCAAGTCAATATGACAATTAGAAGTAGGTTAAATTCACCATTATTTGTTTTTCCACCCTTAGGGGTGGTATTTTTTTTTTGAAATTTAAATGGGACCAATCTGGAAGTATACACTTTCAAACAACACAAAAATTGTCCAAATCGGTTAATAAATGACGGAGTTTTGAGGTAACAAACATAAAAAAATACAGTCGAATTGAGAACCTCCTCCTTTTTGAAGTCGGTTGAAAAAAAATAACGATCGTCCGTTACTGCATAAAAGGCAGAAGGATAAACTGACAAATATCTTTTCGCAGCAGTAGTAGACCTAGGTATCATCTACAAAAGATGATTGAATGTAGCTTGAATTTGTGCTCATGGCTGAACAGACCGATACGGCAGTTACAGCTGCGATTACAATTCTTGCAGACGTATTGATTTTGCTGTGACAAAGAGGGTTGGTGGAGCTGGTTGGTCTCACGCTGGTGTCTGCACACGCGTTTACGGGCTAACTCATTAAGCCAGGTGCGGTCGTGCACCTTTACCCCGTCCCCATATAATTTCCTCCAGCTAACATAATATTTGAATGCATTTATTCGAAAAAACATGAATGTAACTCAATATTAGTTTAATCAATTTATTATGCAGGTGGGGCGCGTACAAAGGTCCCGAAAGGTTACTCGATCAAGGATTTATAATAGTAACTTTCAACTATCGACTCGGTATCCTTGGATTTTTATGTTTGGATTTGGAAGAAGTGCCTGGAAATGCTGGTCTGAAAGACCAAGTAGCTGCTTTGTATTGGATACAGCAAAACATCGCTAGGTTTGGTGGCAATGCGTCAGATATTACAGCTTACGGTACAGGAGCGGGTGCAGCTTCCACAGAGATGTTGTTATTGTCCGGTTTAACAAAGGATCTTATTCATAAAGTGATTATGGAATCAGGATCGGCTTTATCGCCATCGTCCATTACTCATGACCCACATGCCGATGCTTTACATGTTGCTAACTATCTAGGATATAAGGGCATCGATGATTCCAAATATCTAAAAGACTTTTACAAAGAGCTTCCGGTTAGAAATCTAACTAATGTGTCCAGAAAATTATTGCCCTGTATAGAAAAAGCCTATCATTCAACACATAGTTTACTAAATACAGACCCCAGGAATATCATAAAAAGTGGAAGTTACCATCATGTTCCAACACTAATTGTATACACAAACACTGAACAAATGGCAGTAATTTCTGAAAACATTCATCGGTTTAAGACAGCACCTGACACTTTTGTTGATCTGCTTCCATCAGATTTGTCTTACGATAGTGACCAAATGAAATATAAAATAGCTGAGCTGGTAAAACATTTCTATTTTAATGAACTGGAACTAAAGGAAAGTATAATACAAAGTTATGTTGATTATGTAAATGATATATTTTTGGAATACCCATTAATTAAATCTGCAAGTTATCATTCAAAGAAAACTCCAGTGTTTTTAATGAAATTTTTATATAAGGGAACGTTAAGCAGAAATATGAATGAGAAAATTCATGGTGCTGCACATGGCGATGTATTCAGATACATCAGTTCTAGTAAAAATTTAGATGGCTTTGATGCTGTGATTGTTGAGACAATTATAGCTTTGTGGACAAATTTTATAAAATTGGGGTAAGACCAAGTTGTTGTTACATTTAACCTTAACTTATAAAAAAAGAAGTAAAATTTGCTTTTTTAGAGGAATAATCTCTGTAAGTACCAAATCAATGCTAAAATGATCAAAATTTCAGAAATATCTTTAAGTTACAATTTCAATCAAAAAATGTTACTTTAAAATTAAATTATTGAAAAATGTCTAATAGAGATGTTAAAAAATCCAAATATTTTACCATTATTGATAACTAAACTAAAAAATTATATTCATTTATTTGGTTCATGTGATGTTTAGGCCCAATTACGCTCATGTCCTTTGATCAACAGAAGTCTTATATGTAATAAAACAAAAAAATTTAAAAAAAATATGTAAATTGTTCATAATAAACACATTTTCTTATAAAATCTTTTCAGGGATCCCACACCTTTAACTACAAAGTACATTTCTGAAATATGGCAACCAGTTGTTCCACATATGAGTGATGGGAATGTAATAATTCTACATAATATTAATTGCTTTATCTTAGGCAAATCTCTGAGAAATGAAGTATTGCCCGGACAGCAATTTTTATTCTGGGATCATATTTATGAAAAATTTTATATTAATTTGGCAGAGTAATAGAAGAATCTATTCTCATTGGTGTTTTGTGAATTATAATTTTGCTACCAGTAATTATGAAGCTATTTTATGGTGTCATTAAATAAAGTCCTATAATTTATATTTAAGCAATCCAATAATATTATGAACTTTTTTGTTATAATTTGTTTAGAGGATATTACTCATATTCTACTGAATATATATAAGAGGGTACCTACTAAATTTATGAATTTTAAAACATTAATAATTAGTATTTACTGCATTGCATTTTAAAATACATAAGTTTAAATGCAACTAGAGGTAATTACTATATAAAATATTTGGTTTTGAGTGTGGGTTTTTTATTATTTTTATGACGAATGTGCGAGCAACGTGCATCCGTGTTGATGCTGTGTTTCTTTATAGACCGCACACTGCATGAATTGCTATAAAGAACCTTACTCTTACTTAGTGTATACAAAATATATTAAATACAAAGTTAATCTCGACAAAGTTAATGAATATAATTTTTTTGTTATAATTTGTTTAGAGGATATTACTCATATTCTACTGAATATATATAAGAGGGTACCTACTAAATTTATGAATTTTAAAACATTAATAATTAGTATTTACTGCATTGCATTTTAAAATACATAAGTTTAAATGCAACTAGAGGTAATTACTATATAAAATATTTGGTTTTGAGTGTGGGTTTTTTATTATTTTTATGACGAATGTGCGAGCAACGTGCATCCGTGTTGATGCTGTGTTTCTTTATAGACTGCACACTGCATGAATTGCTATAAAGAACCTTACTCTTACTTAGTGTATACAAAATATATTAAATACAAAGTTGAACTTTAAGCTGGTACTAAAAGTCACACAATATGAATTATACATAATAAAATAGGTAGTACGAAACTTATATTTGACGTCCCCAAAAACAAATACCGTTACCTGATCAATCACCCGGAGATGGAAAACGACGGGTCCAGTACAGCATCCACTTATAACACTATAGCATAATTCACTACGTTAATAAGATTGTTTTAACTCATTCGTCATTAGATTTAAGTAATAAAATCAACAAGTAATATACAAAAGGCAAAACATGAACCACCCGTCACATTTCATTCCACTGACATAACATGACGTGAGTTTCGTTCGAAAACAATATCGTGCCAATAAGAGTACTGAGACTACTGAGACCTTTATTCTTATTGGCACGAAATTGTTTTCGAACGAGAAAAATAGAATATTCATTTAAAAAGGTTCGATATATGTTTTTAATAATGAGAACATGAAAATTTGATGAAAATATAAAATTTACATAAAAATCATACTTTTAACATTAGAAAAATAATCTTAGAAACTCATATAGGTTAAAGTCATTTTCTAATACGGGAATAAGGAGTAAGAAAGTATTATGGGAATAATTCGAAGTGATTATTTGTTTTACATATTTATATACTCGTAATACCTACATATTCTTAAAATTACAATATTATGAATACCTAATTGGACACTCGACATAGTTGATGAAAAGGGAAAGGTGGGTTAGTATTTATTTTTTTAAAGTATTTCAACCTACAAACAGTTTCATTCTTGGGTTGCCTATATTTCCCTGTGAAGAATTTATTTAATTTTCCATAATTTTAATACTTCTTTATAAGTAGTAGTAGTAGTAAGTGCAATATTTGTTAAGAATATTAATGTTAATACCTCCACGACCGCGGACACGCTGGCGTTACAGTTAACAATAGATTTCTTAGAAATTTAATTAATTTCTTAGAAATTTACCTGGAGGTGTTAAAGTCAAAGTAAGATATTATTATAAGATATTATATTAAGATATAGATATTAGTAAGATAACGAGAAAGGCTTAAGTTTATCAAAAAAATAAAAAAAATATTTGGATGCAATTTATATCTAGATACTACTTTTTCCTACTGCTGTATGGAGTCATATAGCTTCTAATGTTTATTTAATAAAAATTATAGGTATTTTAAAAATTTTATTCTATCTCTACCAAACATTTTCCTTAAGTTTTAATTTCAATTAAAATTATGTTATTAGATTGAAGACGTATAGTCTTTTATTATATGTGTATAGGTATCTATTATGAGGACGACTTCCTTTAATTTAGCTAAGTGGTAAGTAATTGTGTCAGGGTGTGTTTTACGTTCAAATTCTGATTATACAAATAGGTCAGTCACATAAATCGAAGAATTGTTTTGCTTTATTCAAATCAGTCATTATCTATTCAACTACATATACCGTATAAATTAAAAATGAACGGGTATTAAATGCCTATTAAATTAATAAGAACAATATCCCCCATATCATAAATAAATATTGGGATCGTTTGTTTAGAATATTAAAATCCTAAATTTCTATTTACATGTTAAAAGAAAAGATCCTAATTTATTAAAACTTGATGAAAATTCTAACGGCTAATTCACCAAAGGCTCATCCTCGCTCCGCTCGGGTTCTTCCCTAATTACGTTTTAACGTGTAGTATAGATTTCTCAGGGATGACATATTTCCCCGCAGTAAAAAGTATACTATAATATGCAACTTATTGACATGGATAACTAGCTATCATCATACCAAGTTTCATCAAAATCTGTCCAGTCGTTTTCTCGTGATGCGGTCACAGACAGACAGACAAAAATTCTAAAAACTAGATTCGGCTTCTGTATCGATAATAATGACTATTTCAATAAGATTTTCCAAAAAATATTTAATGTACAAATTCGACTCAGAATTTTATTATACGTATAGATTAGGACGTACATCTGTAAAAGTATTTCTTTTAAACAGAGGATATATTTAAATAAATATTTTTTGGAAAATCCAAAAAATATTTAATGTATAGATTCGAATCAGTTAGAAATTAGAATTTTATTATAATTGTATAGATAACAATTGGTTACTATTCTGAAATAAAATCTGTGGTAAGTGTATGATCTCTGCTGATGACGATGAGAGATGCTCGTAGGTAATAGGAACATTACAATTCATAGCATTATTATCAATTAGCGTAAGCTACTGATTGAAGTCTAAAGAGAAAATTAAAACTAAATGAATTTTCAATTTTACATTTAATAATAATCATAGTTACTTTTAATACATATCTAAATAAAAAAATACCAAATTTTATGTATATATAATATAAGATCGCTAAGTTAAACTTAAATATCACAATGTTTAAGGATTTTTTTTTAAAACGAACGTCGTAAGCTATTTTATGCGTCGGCGCGATACTGCAGTCAGATGACAAGAATTTGTAAAGATTTTATGGAAATATTTAAACAGTAGGTAGTTCTCGTTTTTGATCTAGCGGTATCATTCAGATTTCATTTTGGCCTTCATCTATGATTTCCCCTCCGATGTACACCTTGTCGTGGTGGGTGGCTCATTAGCGTCCGGCAACCTAGCCGGGCGCGAAACCAAGCGGATTGCTCCTGGTACTACTCTGACAGCAGAGTGGACTGTTGGAGCATCCCCATGGTTGTGTTGGTCTGCTTCGACAGGCTTGCCGTCGGGGCGTCGTGGTTGAGTGTATTATCCAACATTTTATAGCATGTTTTAATTTCTTTTTTATCGTATCTACTATGATTTATCAAATCTTTTATCATATTTTTACTTTTGAAATTTAATATTTCTAAATTATATATTTATATTGTAGTATATAACTTAAAAGGCAAGATAATGTTATGATTTAATATAGTTTATTTTTGTTATATTATCTTCTCGGTTCTCTGTCTTAATGATGTTGCCACATGGATAAATGGAAATTAAAATATAATCCATTTGTTAAAAACATAATGTTTATGTTCAATTTTTTATTCATTTTTTTTCTAAAGCCAATTTTTGGGAAAATATCTAAGATTTATTTTAGCAAAATAAATATATATGTACATCCATGGTTATAAAAATATTTAAATCTAAAAGTGCCAGCTGTTGGTTAACTTTGTCAATATTTGTCACTTAAAACTACTCGACGCTAGATGGCGTTAGCTATAGCCAATTAAAATATAATAATTACTGTAGTACATAAAATATATAACATCGTAGGACGTTACTATATTAATTAAAAGGAATGTATTGTGTAAGTTGTACAGTTATCATTTTTACAAAGTTAATTAAAATCATTATGAAATTGATATGCATAACAAATTTCTAATTCAGAAATCAAGAAAGAACCCAGCCCTGCTTTTAGTCACTATATACATTAACTTCTTATAGTGTTTAGAAGGAGAGCAATAACAATTTTAAATATAATTGAACAATAGCAAGAGATATTTTAATATGTGAAAGAATAAACTAGATGGCGCCACCATTACTGCATCAATATTTCAAATAATTAAAGATAAAATAATTTATAATAAATAGAAGCTAGATTTACGATATTGTGTGATAAAAAAGACATAAATCTAGATTTTATTTATTATTACACTAACTATATATTATATAAATATATATGTAGGTTAAATAAAAAATGAATATTACATTAATTCTAACGAGTAATAGAAGCGACATCTAGCGGCATTGTTCCATATTTATGCCATCTTCACATTAGTAGGCATATAATAATAATAATTAATGTCAATAATAACTCTGAGCCTATATTAAATATCCATAATCCATACGATTTATCTTATTTAGTTGGCATTTATAATTTACTAGCATTGCCCGCGGCTCCGCCCGCGTTCAGATGACCAAAAACTAAATTCTTAGGTGTTACATATTAGTATACTCTTACATTGCAGTTTTTGTATTTTTCCTCAGAAATAAGATATTTTCCCGCGGTAAAAAGTATCCTAGGATCGCGCGCTACATCGCCCGGTTTATATAGCTTGAGCAGGCGGTCGAGCGATGCGGGGCAGAGGGGATGGACTCGCCGTAGGCATCTCAATGCTCGCCAAGCATTAAAAATGTTTCGCTACTAATTACTTCTAACAACGATATCTCAAAAACTATTCATCTGATTGATTTAGTGTAAAGAGCAATTTTAATCTGCATTAAATGACTAAGCTAACTAAAATATTCATTTGGATAAGGATTAATACCGAACTAAAGAAAATAACTTTGAAAATAACGTAATGTTTTTAATTAAAAATGTTAACATAAAAGTGGTTATTGTAAGTCAACCGTAAGAGATAGAGATATGCTATCGCGGACTTTTTTGTAGCATTTTTATAGATTTTGAATTCTCTAGTACATTACTTAACTGTATCTTTGCTAGTTTACGCGGCGTTCGCGTGGAAAGTTCCCATTTGGCGAGATTTTTTGCGACCTCTTCAACATTTGTCGCCGTATTTCAGCTAATTTACATAAAAGCATAATAAATTATATACCTAAACCTTCCTCAAGAATTACTCTTTCTATTGTTGAAAACCGTATAAAAATCCGTTCAGTAGTTTTCGAGTTTATCGCGTACAGACAGACAGGAGGACAGACAGGAGGACAGAAAGACGCGGCCGGGGGACTTATTTTTATAATAAGTATAGATATATATATGGCATTGCTCGTGACTGTCCGTATATCGTACACACATCATGGAGAAAGGCGGCTTTCAGTATTTTAATTAAATTTCATATGTAATTTCATTGTGATATCACTTGAAGTCATGAACAAGTGCTAACAATATAAAATTATCAAAAATAGTCCTAAATATGTATGTAACGCCTCTAAAGAAATATTCTTCTTTTCATTTCATCTGTAAAGAGCACTCACCGATATCTATACCACAGTCAGTTGACCAAATTCTACTAAGAACTTAAAATCTTTCTCTGAAAACTCAGCAAGTATCAAGATTTATCAATGATTATAAAGACGAATATGACTTTCAGGCGGTACAAAAACAATTTATTGGCAATGTTCCGTGGTGTCTACGACGGAGCTCTTCCTCCACCCGAAGAAGAAGTACCCGAGAGCCATCCCCAGCACGAGCGCGAGGCAGAGCCACACGTTGTACGTCATGAACACTAACATGAGGATGTAGGAAGCCGTGGACTGTATGACGTGCAAGAAAGTCTGGATGAAGTGCGCGGACGAACACATCGTGTATCTGGAAAGGAGTGAACTATTATTGTTAGACATAACGGTATAAATATGTAAATAAATATGTTGGGACATTAACACACAGCACCATCTAGTTCCATGATAAGCTACGAGGCTTGTGTTATGGATACCAGATAGTTGATACACTACAGATATATAAACTTTACATACATATAAATATAAACACCTATGACTGGAGTACAAACATTCGTGTTCATCACACAATGAAAGCCTCCAGCGGGACTCGAACCCGCAACCATTGGCACAGCAAGTAGGGTCACTACTAAGCTTATTTTAAAATATTAAATGTTTAAAATTTTGAAATTATAAAAGTTAATGTTGAATAATTATTTTTAATAATTAGATAGAAATGAAATGTTAATCGTTTTTAAATATATCTAGTTTTTTTAGAAAAAAATTTAATTTAAAATTTAAAAAATATTTTAGGGGATAAGCTTTAATTTAAATATTTGTAATAAAATAATTATTAATATTTAAAAAAAAATTAAATATCATCATAACAATAAACAAAACAAACAAAAAAGTTATAATAAAGACAAAACATTCATAATTTTATCACGAAAAGTGGTATATTTATTCATTACACTACAAGTAATATTGTAATTAATGCAAGAGTTTGTTATGATTTGTCAGTTTTCCTTCCTTCTCTCAGCGACAGCGGCGGCGGCCCGCAACAGTACGACGTAATTTTTTGCACAGAGATATTTTATATGTAAGCTTCAAACTCGGAATGTGGTTTTGCTTGGGAGAAAGCTTTATGGTATACTTATTATCTATCTGTACACTTAACATAACATAACATTTGCGAACACGTCGTTTTATCAGACTATTGCAAATCAAATCAAATACATTTTTAATTTTACTAAATTAATTTTACTACTTAAATTGTTTAACTGTCAAGCTCAAAATAAATAATAAATAAATATGTTGGGTCATTAACACAGCACCATCTAGTTCCATGGTAAGCTACGAGGCTTGTGTTATGGATACCAGATAGTTGATACATTACACATATATAATTTTAAATACACACATATTATAAATATAAACACCCATGACTGAAGTACACACATTCGTGCAAACAAAACGGATTGTGGAATTCTATTATACATGCGTACACCTTGTTGCAGAAGAAGAGTCCTGTTTTTCGAGTATATGTATGTATGTGTATTTCTTTGGCACGCTGAATAAATCTAAAAGGCTTGATGGTTTTTAGCTTGAGAGGAGGAGCAATTTGGCTTTAGATTCCTCGTAACATGTAGCAATATACTCTATGCTCGTAACTGTGGTAAGTGACAATGGGTATATTCAAATCGTAAAATTTCATCATCATGTCAAACAAATATCATCATCATGTCAAACATTTTTTTTTTCTCAAAACCTATCGAGTGTGGTATCAAAATATAGGGTTTAATAAATGGCTTACAAAAATATATAACTTATATGTTTAAATGTAATATGGAATGAGATATGCAAAAAAACAACAAATAAAAAAATCGTGGACACACACACGCAGCTATTATAAAACATCCATATATGTACGTATGTCTCCGACTGCATAATGCTGTTCCTTCGTCAACTTGTTTTCATCTTTTTAATTCGCTTTTTACGCAGTCGGGTATTTTTATTTTTTTAATATTTTTTTGTAATAATAAAATAAATCACCAAGGCACCAATGTTTAAATCTCTGATCGTATCTGAAGTTAACGACTCGGTAAAACCAATGTTAAGGAAAATCACCTCACCTAAATTTCAAATGGCTAGTAATTTTTTTTATTTGGTACAGTGCCATTTAAATGTGATTAAATGTCATTTAAGTGCTGTGCATCGACTGCTATGAAAATAGGTTTTATCAAACATCATTATTGTCCAAATTAATATTTTATAAATAAAAAAATAACGGTAAGCTCTCAGGTAAGTCTTCCTTGAGCTTCAAAGATTCACAAAACATATTTTGTATGTACATTGAAACAATCAAATGTCCTCCGGTGTAGAGACAGATACTAACTACCTTACCCCGTACTATGACGGATGGTGGTCAAAAATTACTTTTTTTATTATTATCACTTTCAATGGGTATTTTCATATAAGTATTAAGGAACTACTAAACCAGTTGCTTATTATTGATTTAATTAATTTGTCAATTAGTAAAAGAAAGTAGCTCACAGCCATGTCAAAATAAATGTAACTTACTTAACTACATTAGCCCCACCACAGGTTCCTTTTGCGCCGCATTCATTCTTTGCAATATTAACTTGGGAATCCCCCGTGGCTGTGGTGGCCCTCACGTGCAGCGCCTCCCGGTAGTACTTCAGACCCTCGTACAGAGCTCCAGCGAGGAAGATGGCGACTGCTGAACCAAACAGCTCTAACGCGTTGGTGGTTTCCCAACCACTGAACAGGATCTCTTGGTTTACGTTAGCGTGGAACTGAAAGTACAAAATGTATATTTTATTTTTGCTTTGATCTCTTTTCCTGAATTTAGATGGAGATATCCTAGTACGTTTGGACGATCTAAGACCATTCAGGAGCGATCTTTGGGCTCTTTTAGAATGTACTTATGTTGAATGGAGTACAGGATGAGTTTTTTTTACTATATGTATTTTCACAGATTTTAGAAATTATTTAATGCACTTAAAAAAAAGTAAAACTGTTCTTCGTTATTGGGATAGATGAAATAATACTGTATTCCAAAACTTTTTCAATGTAAAGACCATGTGTGTTTGATTGTACTGCCAAACAGCCAACTCAGGGGGCAATGTTTCCTATATAACTAACTACAGTGTGTTTTTAACCGACTTCCAAAAACGAGGAGGTTCTCAATTCGTCGGAATCTTTTTTTTATGTATGTTCACCGATTACTCGAAGACGCCTGAACTGATTTGGAAATTTTTTATTTTGTTTGAAAGGGTATACTTCCCCGGTGGTCCTATATAAATTTTATCGCAATTGGTCGAGTGGTTTTAAAAAAAATCAACTATAAATATTTTTTTTAAACAAATTGTTTAATCGAATATGATATTAAAAACTTTCTTGCTACAAATTACCTTGCCTTAAATGCTTATGACGTCTACACTAAAAATATAAAAATTAAAACTTAAAAAAAAACAGACTCCAGGCACTAAAATGTAAAAAATAACTATACGGCGGTTTTCATTTAGAATAGATACCTAATCAGATATTTTCGAAGTCGGTGCCAGCGGACAATATTTTAAGATATGAATATTTAATAGGTAAATATGTATTTTACGTATCAAAATATATTAGACTTCCTATGCGTCGGCTGGCACCGACTTCGAAAATATCTGATTAGGTATCTATTCTAAATGAAAACCCCCGTTTAGTTATTTTTTACACTTTAGTGCCTGGAAGTCGGTTTTTTTAAGTTTTTATATTAAAATCCTAATATAAACAAGTTAAATAAATTTTTATTTTGATGTCTGGCACGAAGACAATATTATAAGTCAGCAGCTGAGAATCAAACCGGTGGCCGTTGTCATGCATGGCATTCCAAAAGGATTAATCTTGAATTATGAGGGATAAATTCGGGGTGCTTGTATTATATAAAGTTAAATTCTTAACGTTATTTGTAGGACAGTGTTGTATTGTATTATCTAGCCACCAAAAACAATGCGAAGGAAGTGCGGGCCGACACGTACGAGTGTGTACTCGTAGCTGTCGCCTGCAACCCGCCGTGTAATCTACTGACACCACATATTTTGCATATATTTGCAATACATACTTATAATACAAGAATATATTTTTTCGTTTTATTTCGATTATAACATCTATTCATTTATAATTAATATTTATAATTTCTAGTACTTAATTATATTAAAAATGTGAAGATATGTTTTCCGACGAATCTACTGAAACGATCTCCATAAATGTCACTAATGTAACTAATATTTCGGAGGCGCGTAGATTCTGACGTAAAGTTTAGTAAAATTAAATCTTACGATGTTTTTGAATCTAATTGATATTATAAATGTGAAAGTTTCGATGGATTTTTGGATGTTAGTTACTCAATCATGCCAGAACGGCTGAACGGATCTGGATGAAATTTGGCATAGAGATAAATAGGATCTGGAATAGCACATAAATTACTATCCTAGAAAAATGTACAGTTTCCGTGGGATAGATTTGTTTCTGTTTTTCTAGATGCTAACCCAAGCGAAGCCAGGGGAGCCACTAGTTTTAAATACAAATCAATTAAAAAGAGCGACTTTCAATAATTTATGTATGTATTCAATTTCGTTCTTAGCGTGACCTTTGACTATAATCAGTCGAATATGTTTATCGTATGACATGGTCGGTGGGAATACTTGTTGGGTATCTTGGTTTCTGCGGTCGCTGATAACGCTTCATTATCACCTACTTATTCCTGTACATGTTTAATGTGTCTAATAAAAATATTTTATTTACACATCCGGTGTTTAAGGTATTTTAAAGTTAGCTGCAGTTTAGTATATGGGACACGCCCCTCTAACGTGCGTTCACCTTGTCGTGGTGGGGGGGCTCATTAGTGCTCGGCAATCCAGCCGACTGCGAAGCCAAGAAACGCACAGGGTGGTGGCCCTCTTCGGTGGGCGGTGTACCATGCGGGTTGCTCCTAGTACTTCTCTGATAGCAGAGTGGACCGTGGAGCAACGCCGTGGTTGTTGTGGTCTGCTTCGGCAGACCTGCCGTCGGGGCGTCGTAGTTGAATGCGATCCTGCGACGCCCCATTAAGACGGGGGAAGGCATTGTTGGGTTTTAGTGGGTAGTACTGGCTTTGCCGGTGAGTCCCACACCTCGTGCGTAAATGCATTTTCCAACGTTAAAAAAAATGGGACGCGGCTCCTGGAGAAGTGGGTGGTATTTTTGGATATGAGAGGTGATAGAGAGTCCAAATATATAAAAATTATTTTGAGAAAACAATAGAGTCAAATGTTATTGAGACTTAAAGTTACAACATTTCCATACATTATTTTGACATGCTGCCATTTAGACACTTGGAAATGTCAAAATGTCACTTTCAATTGTCAAACTGATCTTCAGATGATGAGTCAGATCTATTACCGAATTTTAAATTAACATAAAGCACTTATAATAGCAGAGGTTCCGGGTTTTTAATAAAAAAAGGAAATGCATAGTTTTTTTATGATTTTTTTTAAATCTTATTGTGATATCATGTTTTGTCGTGTTTGTAATTATACTTTGCGTGAAATTCCAATTTTCTAGTTTTCTAGTCATAGATCCGTTCAGCTGTTCTGGCATGATTGAGTAACAAACTTCCATCCATCCACCATCCACGTTTGTAATATTAGTACAGATTTTATTAGGTTTGGCAACGATTTTTATCTAAATTTATTAATCATAAAGTGCGTACAATTAAAATATGTAAAATTATTTAAAAACGAACACTTCATGCACGTTAGGTAAAAAATAATTATTGTTTTACAAGCAAAATTCCAAAAAACAATCTAAGTATCTAAAACAACATCAGATAAGATACAAATTCGAAACGTGTAAAAACAAAGTACTAATGCGACGTACCACCATGGCGTGGCCGCCGTGGCAGTCGTGGTCCCCGTGGTCCGTGTGGTCTCCGTGGTCCATGTGGTCCATGTGGTCCATGTGGTTCATCTCTGGAATAAATAAGAATAAATATCAACAAACAGAACTCAAATGATTTTTTCTTTTGTAATTTGCGTTATTCATGTTAAATTGACAATGGTTTATTTTTATCTGTTTTGATCACAAGTTAGCTTCCTACAATCGATATTGCTAATATAACTTATGGCACATATTCTGACCACGTGGCATAATACAATATGACGTCATGTGTAAGTATTTTTTGTTTTTTTCTAATGGTGGTTTTCGTAGAATGTTATTTTTTCCAAGCCCAAAATACAATTAAGGAAGAAATTGGAAAATAAATAAATAAATATGTTGGGATATTAAGACACAGCACCATCTAGTTCCATGGTCAGCTACGAGGCCTGTGTTATGGATACCAAATAGTTGATACATTACACTGAAATAATTTTAAATAAATACATATTATAAATAAGTAAAAACCAATAGCCTCAATTATGTCGTTTTTATATTTAAATGGCTTAAAATATAGTAGATCGTAAGTATGAGAAATTAAGAGTGGTTTTTGTTTAAAGGTTAAGTTTTGCGACATCGGCTTTCACTGTTCAGGCGGGAGCTTGCGCAAGAGCCGTAGTTGCACTTGCCTTGGGGTTTCCTAGATATTGTTACGAAATGCATCGCGAACAAATCTGTTGATCTTATTATATGAGATAAGAAATTTCATTTATTTATATTTAGCATTGCCCGCGGTTCCGCCCGCGTTCAGATTACCAAAAACTAAATTCTTAGGTTTTACATATTAGTGTACTCTTACAATGCAGTTTTGTATTTTTCTCAGAAATGAGATATTTTCCCGCGGTAAAAAGTATCCTATATTTTGACCCGGATAACCAGCTATCATCATACCAAATTTCATCAAAATCTATCCAGTGGTTTCCTCGGGATGCGGTAACAGACAGACAGACAGACAAAAATTCTAAAAACTATAGATTCGGATTCTGTATCGATAATAATGTCTATTTCAATTAGATTTTCCAAAAAATATATAATGTACAGATTCGACTTTAGTTACAATTTTATTATATGTATAGATAATAATATGTACCTATTATAAAATTATAATAGTGTAATAGTTGTGTGTGTCTTTTTTGGAAAGAAATATAAATTAGTTTCTCTAAAATTTAGAAGGTAATTTCTCAGGAGTACCTGTTATATAAAATTGTTAAAACAAACAAATTGACAACTGCAAATATTATTAAAAGAAATAAAATTCCAATGAAAAAACACAAAAAAAGAATTACGCAATTTAGTATATATAATTCGAAAAAATTGCAAAATTTCATTTCAGCGTCATAACTTTTTAAATCAGCAATAATGTTGTAAGTGTATGCAGATTTATGTTAATACTAGCAGAACCCGCGGCTTCGCTCGCGCTAAAAATACAAAATAAATCTCTAAAAAGGTAGGTTTCATATAAACTTTCATCCCCTACTTTATCCTCTTATGGGATGAATTTCGAAAAATGCTAAAACACGTATTTGTTTAATTGTATTGAAGAGCACTAATACCAAGTTTCAAGTAATACTTTCTTAGATTTACGCGAATGTTTGACATTATTAAATAAAACTATCTTTTCGGATTATTTCGTGGATTTATTTTGATTTTTGGTTCCCGACAATTACATTGTAATGTAATTGGTGCAATTTTCATTTTGTTAATTGTGGGTAGGCTGTCTGTAACAACTATACATTCAAGACATGTAACACCTCAGTCTCTCCCGTGACCATGGATGCTGTAAAGCATTCGAAACGTCGGGAACCAAAAATCAAAATAAATCCGCGAAATAATCCGAAAAGATAGTTTTATTTAATAAGTTCCAAGTAATTTGGATTGTATTACAACGTGTTTTCCCGTGGGAATGAGATAATCTCCCGCGGACAAAAGTAGCCCATGTCATTCTGCAGCCCTCCAACTATCTCCATACAAAAAATGATGCCAATCTGTCACTCTGTTTTGACGTGAAAGAAGGACAAACAAACACACACACTTTCACATTTATAATATTAGTATGGATTTTGTACGATAATCAATATTTATTTAAAATTGAAAGGTTTTAATAAAAACCTAATTTTTTTGTGCACTATACACAAAATTACTCACAGCATTGTGTTTAATATGTATAGAATAAGAACCTTTGCCTTATAACTTGATGCCATTCTCTTGCAATTAAGTTTTTTCAAGTACGAGTAAGTGCGATCCGGTTCACCTTGACTGTACGACATGCTTGAGTTTCCCCACATGCTATATTAGTACATGTATATGTATTATCTATGGTGAATATGATATAAAAATAATAAGTATGATAAAACATTAAAAAAATCTCTAGTTAAAGTTTAACTTTGCATTACTTTAGTAGGAATTTTTAGGTTGGCATATCCTCGAAGATGGATTTTTAGCTAAGGTTTTATGCGTAAAATGCATTGAGGGGATGAGTATCCATTGCTTTCTATCTAGGCATAGATTTATATGGAACTCTTACTCAATTTCGTTTTCTCAAATAAAGTAGTGTCACATTATGAAACAATTGTTCTGAAATTAGCTGTGCTGTGTGAACGTACAATGTACATCAACAGACAGTAGTTAAGAATTTTAGATTAGTCTGTCCATTTTTGCATAAAGCAATAAAATTCAACGCATAAAGTGCGCGAGCGCAGGAAATGATATAACAAGAACAATGGATATAATATGCGTAGATCACTAGAGCCGATACCCTTAGTAAAAATATACTAACCAAATTGAATAGACGACCGTCTGGATACCTAGTTGGTATCTATTTGATTTATAATCTTATTATCTTTAATTTATAATCAAAATTTTTAATCACAAACAGAGTGGGTACTAAGAGGCCTTTAAAAAGCAGCAGGTAACCTATTCTTATATAACTCTATTATAGCCAGAACTACTCTGCGGAGATTAGAATTAAGATCCGCATTATTGTGGTATGGTCATGGTCTTCGCACACGACATATTACCGATATAATATAAGCAACATAACAAATATGAACGAACCCAATATATGTATTTGTGGCGCGTCATGATCGATAAGACGTATTTACAATAAATTAAGGTAAACATAAATTAATATTACAAATGGTAGCCCAGTGGTAACGCGCTCGCGTGGGAAACCGAATAAAGCGAGTTCAAATCCCAGGTCCCGCACCTCTGACATTTTCATGTGTGATTTTTACTAACATGATTACCATTTGTCTGACGGTAAAGGAAAACATCGTGAAGACATGTGAAGTTCGCCAACTCGCACTTGGCCAGCGCGGTGGACTATAGCCTGATCCTCCTCATATTGAAGGGAGGCCCGTGCCCAGCAGTGGGACGTTAATAAAAACTTAAAAAAAGAATAACTAAACGGGGATTTTTATTTAAAATAGATACCTAATCAGATATTTTCGAAGTCGGTGCCAGCCGATGCAAAGCAATTCTAATATCTTTCGATACGTAAAATACATATTTACCTAATTATTTGATAATTAATTGACGACACGTTTGGCTCAGTTTGTAGTGACCCTACTTGCTGTGCCAGCGGTCGCGGGTTCGAGTCCCGCTGGGGGCATTCATTTGTGTTTTGAGCACGAATGTTTGTACTCCAGTCATGGGTGTTTATATTTATAATATGTATGTATTTAAAGTTATACATGTGTAGTGTATCAACTATCTAGTATCCATAACACAGGCCTCGTAGCTTACCATGGAACTAGATGGTGTTGTGTGTTAATGTCCCAACATATTTATGTCCCAACAACCTATTAGCTATTCATATCTTAAAATATTGTCAGCTGGCATTCCTTTTTTAGTATAGACGTAATAAGCAGGTAATTTGTTAGAAAAAAGTTTTTTAATAACATATTCGATTAATCAATTTATTTAAAAAATATATTTATTGTAGATTTTTTTAAAAACCACTTGACCAATTTTGATAAAATTTATATGGGACCACTTGGGAAGTATAATACCCTTTGAAACAAAAAAAATTCAAATCGGTTCAGGCTTCTTCGAGTAATCGGTGAACATACACCGACGAATTGAGAACCTCCTCCTTTTTGGATATCGGTTAAAAAGGGCTGAATAATATATTATAAGTAGATAAAGTTTTTGTCGATTTTGCTAATTCTTTCACTACTAGCAAGCTGTGCTCTTGATTACTGAGAGGCGTAATTTACATTAAGCGTTTTCAGTTTTATTACTATATATTAAAGGTCACTGAAGGACGCACAATTTAGGAAAAGTCATAATACAGAGAGTATCGATATTTATAATGACGTGTTACAGCACTAACGGCTGCGCAGTGTCAAGGATGCACTGCATGCGTCCACAGGAAGACACGTAATTGCGTATGGCGATCGATAATAATCGGCTTATAATAAATCCGTTTTTATTCTACATAATGCTACAATTGTTTTTTCTTGTCAAGTTATTCGTATATAATTCAGTCCATTGATAAATATATTATTTTAATCGATTTTGAATTTTTAGCCGATCCAGTTGATTAGTGTAGTATTTATAATAAAGAATAATTAAAGTTATAATGAAGCTTTTAGCTCCGGTTTTCTCCGAGGTCCCCGGGGTTGTAATACCGTCAATTTTCTAATTTTGGGCTGCTTCCATATGCTGAATATCTTCGCAGAAAACTTATTTTTACTTGGTCCGACTCGAATCCTGGACCTACAGATATCCACTGTGTCAACGAGGCATGCGTTTAGTTAGAGTTTATTAAACGAGACTAAATATGTCACTCAACCACAAGAAGAACAGTTTTTAAAACTTGAACCACATATCATATGATACTATACTACTGAACAGAAACGGTATATTGCAAGTACACTATCAACGAGACATTCCGTCAGACAGTCAAGGCCAAAAAACATCATCATTACTATCATTGTTATTGCCTTTAGTAGGATAGAAATACTACACTTATTTATTAAACGTTGTTACATCTACCACCTGTTCGGAAAGGAAGTTTCTTAGTCTTTAGA